AAACTTTCAATAAAACTTTCAAAATGACTTTTTTCCATATTCGGAAAAGTTCTCCTCACACGAACTTTCAATCCTGTTAACAAAAATAATTGCGGGAAAAAGTCTATTGCCCGGCTGCAATATCCTTGCTTTTTGAAGGGTAAAGAAAATTATATGATTGAAATTTTATGATAAAAATAACCTAATTTGAGAAAACTGGATCAATAAGTAAGGTTTTCGGTTTCAAAATCCAAAAAAATGAAAACTACAGCGCTGATCTAAATTAACCGGACAAAACGCGTTAAACTTGAAATTTAAAACCCGTTTTTCTCAAATTGGGTTGAGTTGAGGTGAAAACTTATGAAGACAAAACTTGCTTAAAATTTTAGCAGAATTAATATGGTGTAATTTATTTTGCGAAATTCGGGCCCAAAATTTTACCACAAAAATGGGTCATTTTGGCTTTTCTTAGTTATTCAAAAATTACGCCGAAAATTCCCAGTCCATCACAAACAAAATTACATCAAAGTGAGCCCCTTACGTAGCCCAACAATCTTTAAGAAGGGTATAATCTCCAAAATATTGTATAAATTAATTTATTTTTGTTTTATAGGCAAAAGAGGTCGTTTTTACTATATAAAATACCAACTTTTTATTTAAAAACTCTTTTTAAACAATTTGCAATTTTTTTGGAGATTATACCCTTCTCAAAGTTTGTTGGGCTACATGAGGGGCTCACTTTGATATAATTGTGTCTGTGATGGACTGGGAATTTTCGGCGTAATTTTTGATTAACTAAGAAAAGCCAAAACGACCCATTTTTTTGGGGTAAAATTTCGGGCCGAAAATTTGGGGACCATATTAATTCTGCTAAAATTTTAAGCAAGTTTTGTCTTCATAAGTTCTCACCTAAACTCAACCCAATTTGAGAAAACGGGTTTTAAATTTTAAGTTTAAGGCGTTTTGTCCGGTTAATTTAAATCAGCACTGTATTTTCTAAATTATCTAAAGTGAATTTCACACTTTTGCTGATAGTGGTGTTTGTTTTGTTTTTACAATTGAAATTAACTGAACTAAAAATGAAGTCGCATGTTAAACCGCGAAAAAAAATTAAGCCTGAACAAATTTTAAGATTTTCCAGAAAGAAAAAACCATCAAGATCTAGATAAGAGTCTTCACTTCACTACGTGCATTTTTCTTTCAAAAATCTTCTCAAAAGTTTTACAAAATGCTGTTACCGTCAAAAACGGGAGCTAAATTAGCGTATTCAATGCTTTCATTGATTTTTTAAACAACCCTAAGTTACAAAAAACCTGCTCTCCTTACAAAAAATCTGCTAACTATAAAAATTGAAAGTGAAAAGTTTCTTGCCTAGTAACAATGCGAACAACTTAGATGGACTCAGATTTGTTTTTGAGATGAAATGGTTTGCAGCTACGAGTCAATAGAAGGAAATAGTTCAGAATGACCTAGTTTCCTTGCAAAGACAAATTTTTGCTTCTTTAGAAATTTCAGAAAAAGATCGCAAGTAAATGTTCCAGCTCATGGCTTTGAGTTTCCAGCTCATGGCTTTGAGTTTCCAGCTCATGGCAATAAGTTTTCAGCTGATGGCAAAAATAGACCTAACGCAAACAATATGTTACTCATTCAAAACTCGAAGCAAATCAATAGCTTGTATTTATATCCTTCCTCTGCATCGATTGTATTAGAGTGCGGATTTACATACAAATGCTTCAATTAACAACAAAAATAAATTAAGAAGTCCTCACAGAAAAAAACTTGAGGACGACTGCAATTGACTGGTCTAGTGTCCTTTCAAGATTTCAAAAAAAGAACATTGTTTTTCCAGTGCAAGCCAAGTTACGATTACTTTGGCGCCTGAATTATTTTCAGCTGTTTCAGTTGATTATCGATTCCACCACGAAGTGAGAAAAAATTTGCAATTGAATATTTTAAGTGGTTCCAACGTAAAAGTAAGGGTCACAAATGAATGTCGCATTGAGTTGGGAGTTTTTATCATTGTTAAGCGTTATCAGTCGTCATTCGATGTTTGAAAGTTGAGAAATTCGGTTCGATATTTCGCTTTTTAGACTAATTTTGAGTAGAGAATCACTCTTCAAATTGCCTTTTCAAAGTTAAAAGTGTTCAGCTATTCGTCATTTAGGACACTCGTAGTTCGTTCTAAGCTGTAAGTTGCACCAAACACGCAAAAAAAACAAAGCTAACAGAAAGTTGGAATTGAGTCAAGGAACTCCCTATTGAGTTTTAAAAAATAGATGGCCATAAAGCGCCTTGAAGCTCAAGAACAAATCCTGATCGGCACTTTTTGAGTAAAATAACCCTATTTGAGAAAACTAGATTATTAGGTCAAGTTTCTATTACCCTGGGAAATTTGAAATTTAAATTGCATTTCCGAAATTTTGAAGACAAAAATAGATGGCCTTAGGCTCTTTGAATTTGTAGAAGAATTTATAATGAATACTTCTTTCTTACAATTAACACAATTTGAGAAAAGTGGATCATAATAATATAAATAATAAATTGTTTGCAAACTAGATTCCACTCATTGTTAAAGTTACTACATTTATAACCAAACGAAATCTCATTGCGCGAACGCCGTGGAACTATGCAGCCCGTTTTCAGGCGCATCTGATCCTGCTATGACTTCTGTTATTTTTATATATTGATAATTAATCATGAAATAAAAAAAAAGATTTAATGATTTAAAGAGAAAAAAAATTTTGAAACGAAAAAGGGAAAAATTTCAGCAGTACCCTTGACAGCAAATCTTTTCTTTTAAAATACTATTTCTACTCAACTCAAAAATGAGTTTAAACAGTTGATAATTTCCTAGAATAAAATTTTCCAAAAACTCATGGTTGAAGATTTGTAATTGATATTGTGTGCAGCTCTGAATCTTAGTTACAAAATCTGGATAGTATTATAGAACAAATTTGAAAAAATTTCTAAATCTAACTTTTACAGAAGTTTTTTTATTACCCTTTATTTGCACAGGTATCTGCCTAGCTAAAACTCAAAATTGTATTCAAATTGTTATTCAAAATTGTATTCAAATTTTTCTCAGATACAGTTTTCTAGACAATGGCCAATATGCACTCTTTTCTCAAAACCTTACATAGTAACTTTAATAATTCATAGATATGTAATTAGTTAACGAATTATATTTTGCGTTTTGTCTCAGTTCTTTGATGCTTCCATTTCTTCTCTTAAAACAAATAATTTTTATAAGCTGTTTAATTTTAAGTTCAACTGTTTCTAATTTCGTTTTGTCTGTTGACGCATAAGCCAAAACCTGGTACTGTAAAATAGGTTCCACGTGAGCGTTATATGCTTTCACTAGTTGATCTTTACCTAAAACTTTTCTCAACCTGTAAGACATCCCACAAAATCTCGAAAATTTACTTTCAATTTTTGCAATATGATCAATAAAGGAAAGTTTAGAGTCAATTTGAATACCTAAGTATCGGAACGATTGTTTTTCTTCAATAATTATTCCATTCATTTTGACATTCTGATTTACCGCAGCTCTTCGTAGATAGTATCATAGTTTTTGTTTTATCTTCATTTAAGGTCAGCTCGTTTTTTTTTTCTAGCCAACTTGCTGTATTGTCCAACGCTTGTTGGTGTTTACTGGTTAAGTGACTGTTTCTAGCTGTTGCTTTTATGACAGTGTCGTCTGCATATAAAATCAGATTAATTTCACTATTTTCATTTAGCTCAATATCATTTATATAAATGATGAAAAGAAGCGGACCTAGTATGGATCCCTGTGGTACTCCATAACTCACATTTTTAATTTCAGAGCGTTTGGTTTTAGTGGCAACGTAGTGTTGTCGATTTTTTAAATAAGATTTTGGAAGATCAAAAACAGGTCCCCGAAAACCATATGCGTCACATTTCTCAAGTAAAAGAATGTGGTCAACTGTATCAAAGGCTTTCTTAGGGTCAATGAATGTGCACTGTGTCTTCGTGGAATGAGAGTTCCAATCTTCAATCTTGATGCACTTCTTCTATTAGTGTTATTAAAGCATCAATTGTACTCCTTTTTGATCTGAGCCCAAACTGGCAACTTTGTAGTAACTGATACTTAGTGAGATATTGGTTCATTGTGTTACAAATGAACCGCTCAAAAATTTTACCTACAACTGGTAAAAGAGAAACTGGCCTGTAATTTGATGGGTCTAGATCATTGCCTTCTTTGAAGAGAGGTTTGTATTTGACAATTTTGAAACTTTCTGGAAAAACTTGTCTATAGTGAATAAGTCTTGATTAAGTGATCAAATAGGTTAAACTTTTATTTTGCTGAAAAAACTGATTAATTTCCATTTCGAAATCAGAAGTGGATGACGTTTTTCGTGACCTTCTTAATTTTGCAGATCGATAGTAGATTTTGCCTTCCTTTTAACAATAGAAATGCACTTAACTTAAATAGATATCATAAATCAAACCGCGAAAAATCAAAATTGAGCTGGAACAAATTTCAACTTTTTTTCTGAAAAAAAAATACAATTCAGCAAGACCTATATAAGAGTACTCACTACGTTCATTACTCTTAATAAGAGCTTTTAACAATAGAAATGCACTTAACTTAAATAGATATCATAAATCAAACCGCGAAAAATCAAAATTGAGCTGGAACAAATTTCAACTTTTTTTCTGAAAAAAAATACAATTCAGCAAGACCTATATAAGAGTACTCACTACGTTCATTACTCTTAATAAGAGACTGAAGTACGTTCATCAACTCTTAGAAACAAAATAAAATTTTGCTGCAGCGGTAGTCAAAACGTTTTGTGCTATTTTCGTAGAAACAGCCGAGTCTAGCTATTAATTAATCTTAATCGAAGACAATCTTCGGTGCCTGGTTCTGAATCTGAATGGTTTGTAGCGGTGGCGTGATGATGATGATTGAGTGATGATTGAGCTGAGAATGCATCCATCTCCGTCCTAGCTGCGACTGACCATTAATCTCTGGCGGACGAAAAAGTGACACGTATAAGCTCACTTTGAGAACTACAGTGACAACTGAAGGAGACAGTAGTAAAGATATATTTACTTAATATTTACACATATGCGACAATTGAGGAACATGGAATGGCATCGAATGCATTAAATATGAACACTTGGCTTTCTGTCTGTTTACTTGGTAACACTTTCACTTTGGTTGGCTGGCCCAGCAACCCTTATGACACATAGTGAAGCCCAAGAAAGCCAAGCTAGTTGAGTGATATGATATGCACATAGAATAAACAAGCGACCTGTACAATATTTACAAATCTATTCCAAATTCTAAAATGAGCGGCTCTGCTTGTGTTTAAAAAGTAAAACATATTTATATTTGTACATGTCTGTTTATCGATTCATCTAGTTTAAACTCTATCATGTTAGCTTCTGTCCGTGCTCCTTGTCACATCCCCCTCTTCTATTTCATCGGTTGTTATTATTCGTCTGCTGAGGAGCTGAATGGTTCATTGCTAAAACACATCAGTCTTCAATCAACCATCGGCAGAGCCTTAATGAGTCATTCGATTCAACAATGGCCACAATGCTACTCAATTAATCGCTATTCGCACATTAACCGAACGTCGAGAACTAAGAGCACGAAAAAATTAGTTTACACTCGTCGCCTGATCTGAAACCAGCTCATCCAAAATTACTACTCTGAGTTTCGTAAAATAACTCTACACTTTGAAATTAAACACAATGTGAAGCTGCACAAAAAAGCCAAGAAGTAGCTTCAAATACACAGGCAAAGCACCACTTTGCAAGCACAAGCAAGAAAAGGGCTAAAAGTACTTCTAAAAGGATCAAAAAATTTCTAAATTGCGGATTCCATACCAAAATAGGAAAAAATTCTTTATGCAAGGAATACCTCCAAAGCTTGTTCTTTCGATTGTACCCTTAATCTCAGATTTGGCACCGTAGTTTTCAAGAAAAAAATTAACGAACCAAATTTCAAAAAATGGATTTTTGAGAAAGAAAAATTAACAAACAAAATTTTCAAGGTCCAACATTTATTTTCTACAAAAGTTAAGAATCCGCAAAGCAAAGAGAACTCCTGGCTCAAGTTATTTCGATGGAAAGCTTATTCTGAGATTTGGTAGAGTAATTTATGGGATAATCAAAAAGAAAATCCAAAAACGCACAAAACTTTTAAAAAAAGGATTTTTGTTGAGCCCAACAGTGATTTTCGAAATTAGGGCGTAGCCGCAATGCAAAGAGAAATCCTAGAGCTTGTTCTTTCGATTCAAACCTTCATCTGAGATTTGAGATGTTACAAATTAAACAGAGGCGAAGCTTGGCTTTGCAAACACTAGCGAGAACACAAAAAGCAGCTCTATAAAGTGCAATAAGAAAAATTAGAAATGAGGCATGATTTATTTTAAAAAAATCGATCACATCTGAGATTTGAACCTGCAACCTAGAAATTAGAAGTTTTAAACACTAACCACAGCCACGGACGCTGAATAGGCCCCAAACACTAGCCACAAATAAAGCAGAGAACAGATGCTATGCAATTTCCAAGGCTACAGTAAAATTTCCAAACAAGAGAACACTTTTATTAGCGTTAAGTTAGAAAAAAGAAGGTTCGTTAAAATACACTAAGCTTCTCAAAAGTGTAAATAAATTTTGAAAACATCGTAAAAAGAAAATAAGATAACGAGAAGAGTCATTTAGTTTCAAGTAAATTTTTCGCTAGAGATTTGTTAACGAATCTGACTCTTGTCCTTATTGTAAGGTAACGTGTAATTGGTAGCTTCAAAATCACACTGTCAGTGATATAAGAGAAAGGCATTATCTTATAAATTAGAAACATAGGCGCTACGCGCAATACACCGAAGGCATAGAAACTGAATAAATACATACATAAATAAATAAATAAACAAATAAACGCAAAACTGAAATGTACAAATAATTAAATTAACATGAAAAAATATATATCTCATGAACAAATAACCAAACAAACAGACCCATAATATAAATAAATGAAAGTAAATGAATTAAATAAATACACATACATAAATAATAAAAGCAAAACTAAATAAAAGAAAGAATAATTAAATAAATATAGAAATAAATATCAACAAATAAACAAAACACACCTGATAAATAAATAAGCAATAAAAAAATAAATCAATACATAAATAAATAAATAAATACATAAATGAATACATAAATAAATAAATATATAAATAAATAAAAGCAAAAGTGAAATGTACAAATAATTAAATAGACATGAAAAAATATATATGAACAAATAACCAAACAAACAGACCCATAATATGAATAAATGAAAATAAATAAATGAAATAAATACACATACATAAATAATAAAAGCAAAACTAAATGAAAGAAAGAATAATTAAATAAATATAGAAATAAATATCAACAAATAAACAAAACACACCTGATAAATAAATAAGCAATAAAAAAATAAATCAATACATAAATAAATAAATAAATAAATACATAAATAAATACATAAATAAATAAATAAATAAATAAAAGCAAAAGTGAAATGTACAAATAATTAAATAGACATGAAAAAAATATATATGAACAAATAACCAAACAAACAGACCCATAATATAAATAAATGAAAATAAATAAATTAAATAAATACACACGCAGAAATAATAAAAACAAAACTAAATGAAAGAAAGAATAATTAAATAAATAAACAAAACACGTGATAAAAATAAACAAAAATAAATATGTACATACATAAATTATAAATAAATATAAGCAAACTAAACATAATTAAATAAATAGAAGAACAGATAATTAAATAAATAAAGATGAACAAATAAAGAAACAAACATACGCAATCACGTGACATAGCGCGATATAGTCCAGCCCACATGATAATTGATAACTGTGGACGTTATTTGTCGACACTTGACAACAGACAACATTAAAAAAAAAACCGTTACACGATACCATAACACCTTGACTAAAGTCTTCGGTGTAATGAACCTCGGAAAATCAGAGCTAGCTCTGACATGAGCGCTGACAAGTGGGCTTCGTATACAGTGTAGTGAAAGAAAGAAAGAAAGAATTTATTTTCTCGATTGGTAAATACATTGACAAAATTAAAGTAATTTATATACAATCCAGAGGGACAGCAAACGAGACCATGCGGTCTACCAACAGCTGCCCTTTAGTATAACATCAATAGTAAACAGCATTATGGAAGAAAAATAAATTTGAAAAAAAAAAAGTTAAAGAAAAGAAAGAGAAATTGCGAACATAAAAAGGCCATATTTTCTGCGTTTTAATGGTGTGTGCGTGTGATCTCTAGTGAATTATACCTATGACCTGTCTCTCAACCATGAATATCAAAACACTTTTTTTTAAATTTTCTAAAAATTTTCTAAGTTTTTTCTAAAAAAATTTTTTGTGAGAAAAAATTCAAAAAATCACAAAAATCGTCATATCTCCTGAACTAAAAGGCTCCAGAGCATCATTTTTTTCGTAGTGTATCCTTTTGTTTAGTAGCATCCATTCTCTATTTGAAGACAAAAAATTCATGGCAAATATAGGGGCGGTCTTCTAAGCACTGTCGCAATGGGAGGGCGGAGGGGTTTACTTGCCTGCTTTGGGTCTTCTTGAGGCACTGGAAGCACGAGTGGGTCTGGTGTAGTAGGGGCTATCTTCGTAGCCTCCTTGATGGGTATAGGGGGTGTGTGGTTGGTGTGCGTGTGAATTTGAGGTGGCTGCTTGGGGCACCATGGAGAGAGAGATGGAACTGCCTCTGCTGAAGCCACTTGCCCCGCCACCAGTCAAACTCTCTTCGTTCTCTATCGTGCTTACGGCCGAACTACTGCTCCCCTGCTGTTGCCCACGCCTAACACAGAAAATTCACTGCTCCATCGGGTATCAGTTTGTTAAAGGCCAAATTCAGCATTTTCAAAACCTTTGGTTTGATTTCAGCAATAAGTGACTTCAAGGACCAAAACTTTAAAAAAAAAAACTACGAGGACTGCTAGAAACTTAAAACGCCCACTAGGAACAATATCTCCTAGGTAATGAATTGTGAATGACAGGTTTGGGCGAACGCTTGGGTCTATTTGGTGTAGACATTGAGGAGGGCAATGCATCCGCGCCTTCATTGGAAACGATTCGGTTTGTCTAGTGACATTGAGATCAAATTATTCTTTGTGGCATATGACAGGGAGTCTAGGAAAAAAACGATCGACAGTAGTGCACCTGATATCGCAAATTTTACTTTTTTAAAATTTTGGAAATAAAGTTTACTCTAAAAATGATTTATCCACAAGGAAAGGACCAACATAAGAGTTGCTCAGCTGATCACGGAAAACCGCTGTCGTGTCCCTGTTTAAGAACTAATTACAAACGGTTCGTAATTTTGATGGTTATTTTTTATAAGAAATCAGAAGGGGAGAAACAATAGCCTCGGACAGCATTTTTTGAATAATTGCGACCAGAGAGCTCAAGCAAATTTGGTCAAGCTATTGAGGAAAGCTAGGTTGACGGTGTTCAAAAAAATAGCGTTTGAAGGAATTAAGCTTTTGAGGGATAACTGAAACGCAATAAAGTTCCGCTGGGAAATCTTAAAAAATCCACTTTTGAATTTCCAAAAAAAAGATGTCCTTAGAGATCTTTGAATTTCTAGAACAGTTTATAATTGAAACCTTTTGGATAAATTTAACCAATTGTGAGAAAACTGGGTCAATCGGTAAAGTTCATTTCGCATGGAAGTCTGAAAACTAAACTCCACTTTTGAAACTCTAAGTCGATCACGTTTTTCGCGACCTTTACACTTTTGCTATTCGATAGTGTAGTTTGAAATCCTTTTAACAAAGGAAATCAACTGAAATTGAAAAAATCTAACCGCAAAAAATCATATGGGAAAAAATTTAAAAATGATCACGCCTACGCGTTCATTGGCACTTAAAAAACAAATGAAGCCAAGAGAAGAGTTTTCTTCAAAATCGGTTTCTAATTACACACAAAATCATCTGTGACGTATTTAGAACTCTGGTTCAATTTGGGAGATTAGAGACAGAGGCGAAATTGTACTTCGCATACACAAGCAAAAATATGACCAATAACGCAATTGGAAAAAATTGCATGAGAAAAACGTTGAGTCTACAAAATTTCTTAAGTGACGCACGCCAAATGTTGACACATTAGCAGTACCAGTCACTTTAAAAAAAAATTTCAACTAATATGCCTCAAATTATAGAGCAGTCTATGGAGCAGTAATAACACGAATAAAGTAAAAGTAATAAAAATAAAATGATTTTTTTTTAATTCGAGATTTTTCGTGACAATGATCCCCCAACGGCATATTAAGTACAAAGTGATAAATTTCGCTCCTAGTAACAAATCAATTATAGCAAATAAGCTTCCTTCAACCAATTTCGAACAATTTCAATGACGGATTAAATCTCCGCTTACGCGTTAATAGCGCGAAATATATCGCGCTTTAATTGTCCCAAATTGGCCAAAATGGTAATTTTTAAACCCCCATAACTTTATGAAAAAATATCACAGGTGAAACATCTTTCCAATATTAAGCTCAAGACTACAATACTTTTTGAATGATATTTAAAAAATCCCGTCAAGAATGGCTAGTTAAAAAGTCGAAATTTGTCTGAAGAAAAAAACAACCCGAGCACAAATATTCCCTTACTTTCGTTACGAAAGTCAGAACAATAATAGTCTGTGTTAATATCCTTAGAATTGGCTGTACTTAATAGCTGGTTATTGATCAAAATGAACACTTTCAAAATGAACACATTTTATCGCAACAATATTTGCGTCGTAACAATATTTGCGACTTTGGTTGGAAAAAAAGATAGTTCATACTACGACACAAGCATTGCTTGTGTTAACAAAGACTAGCGTATTGATAAAAAGAGTAGATTAATCAACAACGGGAACAGTACCTGTTGAGGGCAGCGAAGGAGGTCTTGCACGACTGTGGTCGCTGTCTCTGCCTCTGCTGTACAAGCCCACTCCCGGCAGTGCCCGTCCCTGTACTTGTGGTTCCTGAAGCGGTGGATGTTGTCGGTCTGTTTAGTATGCCTGCTGCAGAAGAGGAGGAGGAGCGTGTGGCGCTCTGCTGCTGTACCACTTCGTACTGGGTACTACCGGGTGTGGCTTGGTAGGAAGCGGAGGGGGCGACTCCTACAGCAAAAAAAGAAGACATAAAAACCCACTAGTTTTATTTATAGAACCTTTTCTGATAGCCGAAAAAAAAGACGAAAATCTGGAAAACGGAAAAAATGTATCGAAGTTTAGAAAAAAAGATCTACCAACTGTTTCATATCTTTGTCTATATATTTTTTTTAAATTGAGTTCATTATCAAATGAAAAATGGCCTGCAGACACTTGGAAAGGTGCCAATGAATACAAGGAAACCGAAAACAAATGTCTGACTTGTTTTTAGAGAAAACGTCAGCTTTCTAATTTCAAATCAATAAAAATGACCTTGAAGCACTTTGAAATTTGATAAAAGTTTCTGAATGACCCGTTTTAATAAAAAAATAACCCAATTTGAGAAAACTGGATCATAAAGTAAGTTTTTTTAACTCCGCTGAAATATCTAAAAAGTAAAATCCACTATCGAATCTGGAATTCAATTACATTTCTTCGCGCCATTTACGTTTTCTTTATTGTAGAGCGCACTTTGCTTTTTAAGCATATGAAATTGAATTGAATTTAAACGAAAACAAAAATCAAACCGCAAAATGTCGGAGTCTGGAGTGAACCAATTTTAAGACTTCCCTAAAGGGAATCATCACGACCTATATAAGTAGCTTCACTACATTCATTGACATTTAAAAAGTCAACCTCACTCCCTTCAAAATACACATACCAAAGAAACTTTTACAGCTGAAGTTTAAAGAAGCTAAACAATCTGAAACGACTAAGTCGATATAATATGAACTGTAAACTCTTAAGCCGAAGAGAGCAAAAAACGGAAGAGTTGAATCACAACAAAAATTAGATAACAAAAAAGACGCCCGAATTTAAAAAATAAAAATTATTATTATATCAAAAATATTCAGCCAGAAGCCACAACAATCTTGAACCTTATGCATCACTCGCCAAATACTTTCGTAGACGACAGACTGTCAAGTCAAAATTGCAACCAAAAACTTTCCAGAAATGTATGTTTACTTTTTCAAACATTTGTAGACGGTAAAATGATACATTGCGCCCTCATCTTGAAGGGATATAAAAACGAAACTGCTTAAACTTATTTATGACGCTAAGATGCTTGAAAGCAAGTAAAAACTACGGAGCAAAAAATCAGAAAACGTGCACCACAAAAACTGAATATTAATGCAATTTTTATCACAAACCACTTCAAATTTTTGTCTGTTCGAACAACAAATATATAGCGTGTAAAAACAAAAAATGACTTGTTTTTGAAAACTTTTGAAAATCAAAGGATAACTTATAAGGCTTTAAAGCTCTTTCAAGCTCGAGAACAACTGATGATTGACACATTTCCGAAAAATTAATCTCATTTGAGATTACTGGGTCATTAGGTAAAATTTATTTTCCACTGAGAAATCTATGAAATAAATTCCATTTTCGAAACTAGAGGTCGATCACGTTTTTCGTGAATTTTACACCTTTGCAGTTCAATAGTGGAGTTTGCCTTCCTTTTAAGAAAAAAATGAACTGAACTTCAAAGAAATCAAACCGCGAAAAAATAATCAAAATAATCATCACGACACCGCGTTCCTTGGCACTTAAAAAACAAATTAAGGCAAGAGAAGAGAGAAACAAAAATAAGCTTGCATGGAAACACTGCTTGCATTAGCATCAACAAATTTTAAGACTTTTCAGAAAACAAATAACCAAGACCTATATTAGAGTACTCACTACAAAATGCATTTGAAATGAAATAATAAAAAAGTCAAATAGCAACAGTTCTGCGTAAGATTTTACCCTCAAAATACGACCACATGTTTTTTGCCATCTAGGGCAAAAACAAGCGACTAGCACGTCCATATATTATCCGCTGTTGAGGTGTAGTGCTTATCACGTGGCTTTCTGATTTGTGATGCTCTCAACATTGTGCATAAGAAACAAAATTTTATTCAAGCTGTTAGCCTGGTAAAAGTTATAATCTTTCATTGATAACTCTTGGCAAATAGCTATTTTGTAAATTTCAACACAGAAGCGAAACTGCACTTTGCAAAAAGAGCTCTTAACGCGGAAAACAAAGTGAAGTAAGGAAAAGGTTAAAAATACACCTTGAAAAAAATCGTTGAGTCTAAGGGTATCACGCTCTTACATCTGCTCCACGACCGCTTGTAAGTTTATTAACAGCAGCTACCAATAACGCAGCTACAGTTTCACGTCCTCGCATCTGCGCCACGGTCGCTCGGAAAAAAAATAGTGACTTGGTCAAAGCTGGATCTATTTTTTCTAATATTTTTCATCATATTGTACTAATACGGAATTGCGTAATTTTTAAAATTTCAAAAAAAAACTAATTTTACGCCAAATTCGAGTGTTTCTCTGCTTAAATCGGGGGTTAACCGCTTAGTAAAAGGAGAAAACAACTACTTGCTCTTTCAACTGAAGTTTTTAACTCAGATTTGGCTGGGTAAATAAAAAAAAGTGAAAAAGATTCCAAAAATTAATCAAAAACTCATAAACTTTGCTTTTACAAAATCTATGAACTTTTCGCTACTAAAGCATGGGAAAGCCTCTGCTTTCCACACCTTGATTTTTAGATGGAAGATTTCCGCATCCTGATTTTTAGATTGAAACCTTAACGTCAGATTTAGCTAGTAGTTTTCGAGAAGTGACAAAATTTCTCGAATAAACGGTAAAAAATTTTTTTTCCGAAGTCTAAAATCTATATCAACTTTTTTTTCAAAAAAAACAAGGTAAAACAGATTAAGCAGGGACAAACTAAGCATCAAGTTAGTTTGATTGAAATATCAATCTAATAATCAGCAGGTTACTTTTTGAAGAAAAAAAATTACAAAAACGGGCAAACAATCAAAACTTGGACCATTTCTAAGGCCATACTTTATGAAAACGCAGGGTTTACCCGCTTGAGCAGGTGAGATTTGCATAACATATTTTCTTCAGTTAAACCTTTAATCTCCGATTTAGCAGGGCAATTTTTGAGAAAAGTCAGAAAACTTAAAACTTAACCAAAATGTCAAAAATGGGCTTGTTTGAGTTCATATCCTTTTTTTGCCAACTTTAGGGAATAGCCGCTCAAAAAAAACATCCGCATAATTTTTTCTTTTGAACCTTCATCTCAGATTTGTGCATTTAATATTTGAGAAAATGAAAAAATCAAAACAAGTACGCCAAAAATCTCCATGAAATTTTGGAAGACCGTAGAACGTGAGGTAAAGTCAAGAGAGACTAGCAAAAGATGCAGGCACATAGAAGAGCAGCCGGTTTTTCCATTGATACCATTTTTTTGGTAGTTTTGGGAAAAATTGAAATTTCAGCGAAAAGTGCAAACATTTTCCAAGCGTCGCAAAAAATACGAAATACGAATCCCATACATTTTCATAATCCATGTTTTTTTTCGAACCGGTCCTAACACTAGCCTAAAATAGAGCAGCAACATATGCCATTAAATGGTTTATGCTTAAATAAGCGTAAATTTGATTAAACTGAAATATACCAAAAGTGCCACCAAATGAGCACTTTTATTTGCGACTTAGGTTCGAAAAAAAATTCTTCGTAACAATACACTACACTTCGCTTGTGTAAAAACACGTTATGAAGAAATGTTACAACTTAGATGAGAATGGATTGCTACTAACCCGTGACGTGAGAGTAGGCAGATGCATGTGCATCCAGCTCCTCGTGCCCCTCCTTCTCCCATCTGTGGGGGGCAAAGTGGCCACTTCCTCCGTGACTCCCATTGGACTTGCTGTTGTGCTGTTGGTGGTTCTGGTCCCCCTCTGTGTCTGCTGATGATGTGCCTCCCAATAGAGCCGAGCTGGCATTGTTAGCAGAATACTGCCTTGTGGCATGCCTCTTAGCCAGACGTTGCAGTGCATCACTGATGGCTTGCTCGCTCTTGTTCGTTGTTATTGTTGTGCTCCCACTTTCAGAGCGATTTGTGCTGTTGTTGTTGTTGTTGTAATTTGTAGTAGATGACCACTTGGACGAGGCTGTGTTCGACCTCCCATGATGTCTGTTGTTACTTATGGGAACCATAGTCTTCGTCAAGTTCTCACAGTAGATCCTCGCCGCTGCATCCAATTGAGCCGAGAACGGGCGCGGCTTCTTCCCCCGGTTCATTGGCGTACCACTAGTGGTAGCCCCACTCCCTTCAACGAAACATCTCATTTTGGCTTGTAGCCCACCGAGCAGCCTACACTTAAAGTGCACCATTATCTAGCAAGACATAGTTTTTGAATAATTGAGAACGAAAAACAAACGCCGACTCTTCATTATGCCGCAAGCAAAATAAGCAGAAAGATGTAAATCAAACACTCGTAAATCAATCATTTAGCCGTTTTGGTTACATCAACGTAAACAAAAATGTGGAAAAGGGCATGTGAGGATGAAATCATTCCTGGAAGCAAATTTACCGGGTATAACAAAGCATCGAACTCAGTTACCCAACTAGATAACGCCCCCTCCCCCACGGCGCATATTTTAAAGCACATTAGTTCTGCCTAAATGCAAGCATTTCATAAAATGAAAAATTGAGTTGCCCCAGTCTAAATTCAAAAACTCCGCTGAAATGGATTTAACTAATTTTGAGGAAAAAGTGCTAAACAAACAAAAATTCAGTCGCCTTAACAAATACTTCAGGAGTCTATGAAAATTTACCATTCTACCGGACTAGATTATTTTAGCAAAAAAAAAGAAGCTAAAACTGAAACCCAAAAGAAGACCTGTTCGATAATATTTTCCAAATTGTTTTCCACACTGGAGTCGCCGACATCTTAGAACCTCACCAAAAACAGGCCATGGTTGAGAAGTATGAAAATAATGAACTTTACTGGCATGCTAGCTTCACCCGATCCAAAGGAAGCATGCGGTTTAGATTTAAAAAAAGATACGAAATACTGTTAATTTTGAGTTGCGGGCAAGCAAAATCTATATTTCTGATCTTTCTATCCTGTTAAATGAAAAGTTTTTCCCCGCAGCTTCGAACGTAGGGAGAAGGTGACATGCTTGATATTGAGAAAATGCCAACCAATTAATCTTTGTTTAACTTCGTCATAAGTGGAGTTTTTCAAAGCTCGCCAAGGGATCCAATAATGCTAATAAATTATATTAACAACAATAAGACTTCAATCGGTCACAGCTATGCAGACAATTACAAAAACACCAATAATTTATCTGTAAACATGTCGCAAAATCAGAGGATATTCGAAAAGAAATCGGTATAAATCACAAACTTTTATGAATAAAAAACGCGAAAAGAGCAATTTGGGCAACAAAGTACTTGTTTTTCGTGGAAAGAAATTTCTCATCAATAATCAGCACCAGAGCGAAAATATCAGAATATTGGCTATGTGGTACCATTTATCACATACGGATCTCAAGCTAATTACAAACTTGAGCTAGAAAAAACATCAGAAAAATGCATTCGCGAGCTTTGTCGTCATAGATACACGACTATGACTCTTGCGATGAGGCAAACAAAAAAAACGGAATCTAAATCGGTTGAGTTGGCAGAATGAGGAAATACAGTACAACGAGTTGGACCCGTATATATGGAGCAACCTTCGCCTTTGCAAGCAATGTACCGCACATGGAAATTTTATTATTCTCGACCAATTAGGAGGTCATGCCAAAGGGTCAACCCAGAGCAGACCAATCAAACAAATTTAAAGACAAACAATGAAATGTCAAGTTTGAGTGTGGTCAGTTTTTCTGACATTTTCCTCCAAAAAAATCAGCATTAAGCTCTTGTACTACCTGGTCTACAGTACCAATAACTAATCTATAACGCAGAGGCGAAGTTGCGCTTCGCATACACAAGCAAAATATGACCGATAACGCTACTGGGGAAAAACTGAATGAGTACAACATTGAGTCAATAAAACTTCTTAAATAACGCACTCCAAGATTTACCAACTAATTTACCAACTAGCATGCCTCAATTTATAGATCGGACGCATTTTAACTAGTATACGAAAAAAATCATTAAAAACATTCTTACTTTGTTGCGGGTCTCCTTCCCTACCTCTACGCTAGAGATCCATGATACCTTGAAGCTAAAGTGCTATTTGTAATATAATAGTATCAAAATGAACACATTTTGTCGCAACAATATTTGCGTCGAACACTATTTGCGACTTAGGTTGGAAAGGAAGAGAGTTAAACCCTTTAACACAAGCTTTGCTTGTATAAATAGTAAGGCAAAACGAAGAACTTAAAGATCTCCTCTTTCTATGTTATCTACTCTTTTCAATAAGTAAACTGAAAACTGAATCAAGGTATAAATGGATGAAAGGTTTATATTTGTTCCGCTGAAAACTTAAAATATATATCTCCTTTGAAAACTGAAAGTAAAACAAATCTAACAAAAATTGAAATGAACATCAAAAATCAAAACAAACCGCGAAAAATCAAAGATGAAAATTATCAAATTTTTCTAGAGAAAAATCAACCTGATCTAAATTAGCGTCTTCACTTTGTTCATTGACACCTGAAAACTGTTAATTTGAGTTAACATAGCCAACGGAGAATTCAACCCTTTTTGAAAAGTGTCAATGAACAAAAACCGCAAGAAAATTAAATTATGCGGGAAGCAATCTTACCTTTAGGCTTCTAAGAAAATTATACACAGAGGCGAGGCGGAGCTTCGCACCACTGGCGATACAACAAAAACATGATAAAATTCAGCACTCGAAAAAAAATGAAAAAAGTCAAAATTGTTGAAAAAAAAACTAGGTCTACTAAAATAAATATTTTCCAATGTCTCGACAGAAGTTCATTCTAGGCAATTATTCCAGACATTTGAATATTAAATTAGCAAAAGACGAAACATGAGACGATGAAAAAAAGCCGACAGTCTTTGAGTAGAAACAAGTTTAGACAAAAAATATGATTCTATGAAAAATATTTTCAGTAATTACAACAAACAACACAAGCACTTGCAACAATGAAAATTGCCTATAGCGCAAAAAAAATCAGATAAGTGGCCACAAAGTCGGCACCTTTGAGCAGACATTAGTTAAGCCGAAAAAGATGAAATCTTTCAAATCGCTCCCTAAAACTAGGATGAACATTTGCACTTGCAACTGCAATTTGATGTGGCAACTTAGCCGACAAAACATCCGCAGACAAACGAAAGTTCAACAATTCTTTCTTACCGAAAAAAAATTCAATTGCGTACATACAAAAAAACTAGGTCCAGCTGAGACTCGACCGCAGATCTTAGGGAAGGAACTGGAAACGGGATAAAAAGCCTGAAAGAAGTGAAAAAAGAAGTGAACCTGGAAAACATGAAACTGAAGAAAGTCTTGTTCCCGATTATAACACACTTGCTCCTGCAAGTGTAATCACCTTTAATTTCAAAAATCGTATATAATATGCCTTTTTCTACAGAAAAATAAAAATTTCCACTTTGAAAAAAGTCCAGCGCATTTTTCGCGCTATTTGCACTTTTTTTACAGACGAAAGTTGTCTTCCAATTGGCAAACTAATTTGAAGTCAGCTTAAAAAATATAAATCAAGCATCGAAAGATCAATTTGAGCGTCAACAACTACTAGGACTTTTCGGAAAAAAGAACACACAGCTAGGTAAGTGTATTCGATTTATTCGTTGACTTTGAATTATTCTACCCTCATTTTGGGGAATCTGAGCTCTCGGAGTTTTTGGTTACGTCAGCAGTATTTCTTCTTTTCGGAGCTAGTTATGGAAAAAGGAGTTTTGTTGTATGTAAATTTACCTTTCGCCGAGTGGTTTCTACTACTGGTGATGCTGCTTCTGGTCACAGAGGCGGGTGTGAGGGTGGTGTTTGCCTCCGACTGCGACTGAGCTGAGGAGTATATGTTGGTGGATGTTGCTGTGGACCTGGAAGTACTGGTCCTTATAGACCCACTGGCTGTTGCATCCCCACTTGCCGACGGACTCCACACATCTCCACTGCCACCTCCTCTGTCCTCTCTAGAGCGCGAGTGTGGCGAGGCGGAAGGGGAGCGACTGCAGCTGCTGCTGGGCATGAAGGGGGCGCCTCCTTGGCCAATAGGGGAGTAGTTGGGTCTATGTTGTCGATAGTGACGACTGCCACTGCCGCCCGGTCTCTCCGCCAGCCGAGAATTGCGGTAGGGGGATGAGAATGAGGAGCCAGCAGCTCCAGCTACAATGAACGAAAGAGAAACTTATTTTGAAAATTGCTCATTTTAAACGATAGACACTTGAAAAACATCTGACATAAATTTATGTACCAGAATCATAGATTAATGTGACATATTTCCTAGTTTTCAAAAAAGAATCAAAATAATACTGTAATAGATACAATCTAGCCATTCTAGCCCTTATGATTCATAAAAAAAACTTAACATCTAGCCTTGGCAAACTCAAATAAAGAATTGACAAACTTAAACTATAGACAACAAATGGTTAAAAAGTGTAAGAAAGGAACTATTGACTTATTTTTTGAAAAAATTTCAGCTTTCGATTTTCAACAACAAAATCTATGGTCTTCACCCTCTTTGAAATTCAAGATGAATTTATGATTGACATTTTTTTAAAAATAAGATTAACTAACTCAATTTGAGACAACTGGATCAATGGGTGATTTATTAACTCCACTGGGAAATCTTAATATTAAAGAAGTCGTTCACGTTTTCAGCGCCATTTCCTTTTTCGTAATTGGAGAGATCTGAAATTAACTCAAAAACTGCCCACGTACCTAAATGCATTCATAAATGCACCAACACAGTTCTTTAAAGCAATTAAAGAATTTTTCCTGAAAAAGTAAAAAAAAATCATGAAGACCTATATAAGTGAACATCACTTCATTCTTCTACATTCAAACAAAGTAACAGAGCCAACAGACAGTTGAAAAAAGGTCAATAAGCGAACTGAAAAAAAAAAACAACTGAAGTATTTTTGAAAAAATCGAATCTATAATTTTTATGACTGACACATTTTTGATAAAATTAACCCAAACTGAGAAAACTGGATCAATGATTCAACTTTTTATTCCGCTGGGAAATCTAACAATTAACTCCACTTTCAAAAATAGAAGTCGTTCGTTTTTTTCGCGCCATTTCCACGTTCGTATTTGGAGAGTGCTATTTACATAACTTTCAGCAGATGAATTTAATTTCAATTGAACTCAAAAGAGCATTCATGACTAAGTGCATTTATCAATGCACTAATACGCAGGGCATATCAAAATACTATTGCAATATTATTGCTTTCCGAATTTTTTGGCAATTAAATATTGTTTTTTTTTTCACATTTACAATATAATATTGCAATATATTGCAATACTTCCGAGAAGAAAAATGCAAGAAACAATGAATTGGAAACAACTATTTAAAATTATTTTTGTCAATACATTCTTTCACGGTATTAATGTCCCAAAATTTATGATTGTAATGAAGAAAAAGTTGCATTTGCAGATTAGCAGGCAGCATACTTTTTCGATAATCATTATAAATGGCTGGAAAATTACGTGCATTTAACCTAAACGCTGCTTTATTAATCAAATTAAGTATTGCAAAATATTGCAATATATTGCAGGATAAATATCAATATATTGCTTATGATAATTGTTCAAAATAGAATATTGCAATATACATATTGCAATATATTGCAATAGCAATAGTATTTTGATATGCCCTGCTAATACGTATGAATACACATCTGTAGTTATTAAGAGCATTTTAGGACTTTTTCCTCAAAAACAAAAACAAACAAAAATCACCAAGACCTATATAACAGCCTTTTTTACGTTCATTACTCTTAAAACGCAGCAAAACTTCAAGGAATGCAATTAATAACACATAACCGGAGCATAATGAAAGGATTTTCAATTACAATTAAAAATGCTTAAATGATATTCAGACTCCGTGTTGCGACAACTAGTTCGACCAAAAAAGCACAGAAACAAAAGTCCAAGGATTTTTCACTCAGAAATATTTCCGTTCACAAGAAAAACAGGCCCTGCCGGGATCATGGACCTTTGTATTCGCCGGAATGTGCCTTACCTCTGCGCCACATCTGCGGATTAAAACCTTCATTTTGATTTTAAATGAGGCGAGGTGTCAAATGAATCAAGCAAATGAAAATTGTTGGCCAGAAAAAAATCTGCATTCCGATTTGACGACGCTTGCTTGTTGCAAGCGTAAAAACAGTATCGAGAGTTACTTTATATAATTTAACTGCGAACTTAGAACATACGTAACCATTGAGATCGCAAAGAGCTCTTTCAATTGCAAAACACTTATACATATGGCTTGTTAAGCAAAACTAAACCAACCATATTTGAGAAAAGCTCTTAAAATTAACATAGAGGCTAAGCTTTACCTCTAGGCTAAGTGGGAAGCAGTCTCTAAGTCGCAGAGGTCTGTTCATAAAGCAACTTCGCAATTTCTTAAAAATGCATAAGAAAATTATTTACGGAAAAAAATCTTGTCCCTTTTCCATGTTCATTTGCGGAGTGTTAATTGAGCTCTTCTTGAAATTTGGACTGGAAAAGCTATCAAAAATTAATAAGTATGACACCCTAGAGAGCTGAACTCAATGCATATCATATTTCAGCTGGGCATGCAATGAAAGTGAGACTTCAATTATTTCCTTCTGTAGTTTTACCGTTTTCTGTGATGACCTTGTGCTATCTATACCAGCCTATAGTGAAATTTCCACAAACCTGGAGCCAGTCTCATGAACAGCTTCAGAAACGCTGAACACAGACACATATTGCACGCTACATTCGGGAAACATTAATTGCAACTAGTTCGAGTATGTTTACATTCTGACTCTCCAATAAAGTAACGGAATACTTATACTCGATTTGGCTCAGAAATCATTTCAGCTCGGATACTATTCCGAACTGGACTGAGACAAGCATTCGATCTAATTGATTCGTTGCTAGATGCGCAAAAACATTTTGCACTCGACATAGCATGTGAAAATTTTCAAATTCAATCTGCAAAAGCAAATGCAATCATTTCTTTTAAATCAAAGGCTAAATCATAGACTTTAAAGGACAGTCAAAACAATCAGGTTTTCAATCGCGAGAAGAGAATTCACTCTTTGCAGTGCAGCCCGCGCATGTTTCCTCGAGAAACACTGTTCTTTTCGTGAGCTTGGTAGCCTCAATTAATAAAAGTGCCGATGTTCATAAACACAAACAAAACTATTAACCATTTTATAACAACTAACAACAATTTTAGATTCTTTTGCAATTGATTTTTTTTCAAAACTCACAAATTTGCTAAAACTGGGTCAATGGGTTATGTTTCAACTCAGTTGAAATCTGACAAAAAGAAATCGCGCTATTTACATTTATTTAAATTGAAGACTGTATTTTTCTATGATTTGAGCTAAATACAGTGCTGGTTTAAATTAACCCGACAACCGAACAGAATTGAAAATTTCAAAACCGTTAGACAAAAACAGATCAGAACAAAAGTAGCCTAAATTTTTCACAGAACTAATATGATGCAATTTATTTTGCAGAATTCGGACCCAATTTTTTACCCTACAAGAGGGGCGTGTCTGGCTCCTTTCATTCAATCAAATATGAAACCGAAAAAATCGGAGCAAAAAATGAGCAAATTCTACAAAATAGAACCTATTATCTAGCCCAACAAAAACTAAGGAAAATATACGGAAAGTGTTGCAAAAAAAACATTTAAAAACTACTAGCGCTTATCGCACCTTCGGTGCTTCGAAATTTTTCGACAACTCATGAAAAACCGCATATATTGGAAACGACATCTGTAAACTTTTAGTGTACTCTGACTGCACCCGATTACAGGGTTGGTAATTTCGAACTTTTATTTTTTTTTAAATTCCCATTTTCAAAGCGTCATTTCGAAAACTTTAAGGGTCTCTGGAGAAATTTGGAAGCCAGATTCGCAACCACTGAGAGTCCCTGAGAGCACCCCACTATAGGGTCAGGAATCCAAAATTTTGTGAATTTTTTTAAACCTAAGTTTCCCGAAAAAAAAAATTGAAAAACGTCTTATCTCGGAAACTAAAAGGATTTGAGCATTCATTTTAAGAGGAAAGATTTGAGACCCCTGGGTGTACGCTGACAATAAGATTGTATCTTCATCAAGTTAGTAGTTTCAATTTTTTTGAATTTCTTTGTAGATAAGTTCCTAGAGAAATTTTGAAATAATCGAAAAACTTCACATCTCGGAAACTAAAAGCATTTGAGCAGTCGCATGTGGCAAGATTTGCAACTCTTTAGTGCACCCTGACAACACCGAACTATAGAGTTGGGAAATTCAAATTTTGAAAAATAATTAATTTGAACTTTCTGAAAATTTTTAAAAAGTCACAAAAAACGTCACATCTCGAAAACTACAAAGAATTGAGCAGTGATATTTGGAGGCAAAATTCGCAATCCTTGGGAGTACTTTGACAGGACCTAACTACATGATTGGGAATTTCGGATTTTTAAAGAATAATAATAACTTAAGTTTTCTGAAAATTTTTAAAAAATTCACAAAAAAACGTCATATCTCGAAAACTACAAAGATTTGAACAGTCATATTTGGAGGCAAGATTTGTTACTCCTTAGAGTACTTCGATAGCACCCAACTACAGGGTTGAGAACTTCAAGTTTTGTAAATAATTTTGTTATTTGAAATTTTAAGATTTTTAAAATAATTTTGTTATTTGAAATTTTAAGATTTTTAAAAGTCTTAAAAATCGTCTTATATCGTTAACTAAAATGATTCGGGCATTCAAAATTGGAGGCAAAATTTGCAACCCCTAATTCGATATTGGGCTGCTTAATTTAAACTTGGTAAAATAACCACTAAACTCAAATTAGAAAATCGAAAAAAATTCTTAACCATTGCAATACACGATATAGCTTAAACATGCAAAAATAATACGTTGAAAATGCTTAAACATGGCGAGATAGTGAAGCCCGCATTTAAATATATAATAGATTCTTAAATCAAAGTATGGCATTTTACGTGTAAAGTATTTCCAATAATTTTCCAATTTTCTTCAGTTTGTCCGATTAATTTGAAACATAGGCAACAAACAGTTGGAAAAGAGTAATGAACGCAAGAAAACAGAAAAAAAAACTTTTAAATTTTAAAGAAACAAGACTGCTCGTATCAGGGCGAAGCCCTGAAAGTACCGACTGCCTTTTAAGGTCTATGGAGCATTAATAAGATGAAAAATTTCAATGGAATAAAAAAAATGAAAAATTTTTTTTGAAAAAATTTGAGATTTTATGTAAAAACATCCCCCCACACGTCATATTAAGTACAAAGTGATAGATTTTGCGCCTATTAACAAATCAATTATGGCATATAAGCTTCCTTGAACCAATTTGGAACGATTTCTAAGACGGATTAAATCTCCCTTACGCGTTAATAGCGCGAAATTGATCGCGCGTTAATTGTCCCAAACTTGCCAAAATGGCAATCTTCAAACCCCCATAACTTTACGAAAAATGATCAAAGGTAAATTATTTTTTCAAATTCAAGCTCAGGACAACAATAACTTTCGAATGATATAAAAAAATCCGTCAAAAACTGCTAGTTAAAAAGTCGAAATTTGTCTGAAGAAAAAAAAACCCACCCCGAGCACAAATATTCCGTTACTTTCGTATCAAAAGTCGGAACAAAAATGTATGCCCTGAAAACTCTTGGAATTTCTAGAACAATTTATGATTGAAGTTTTGTTGATGAAATTAACCCAATTTGAGAAAACTGGATCACCAAGTAAAATTTTCATTTCGCTGGGAAATCTCAAAAGTAAATTCCATTTTCGAAGCTAGAAATCGATCACGTTTTTCTGACTTAACACTTTTGCTCTGTTCGATAAAGGAATTCACCTTCCTTTTAACAAAAGAAATGAACCGAATGAAAAAATCAGAAGCCAAACCGCGAAAAATCAAATTTGAGCGTGAACAAAATAGTCATATTCTTCATGAAAAAAAAACAAAAGAAAAAATCACCAGCAAAAAAAAGTTATACACAAAGGCGAAGCACTTGCGATACAAAAATGAATGACTATGATTAAAATCAAACAAAAAAATTTAAATAGAGAAAACGCTTCAAAAGTGTGAAGTCCAAAAAATGACATCTCAGCTCGTATATTCGTTTTTTTTCGCAAAAAAAATCTGCGAACAGCAAAACGCATCAACAGATATTTACTTTAGATCCCATTTTGAAACATAGGCGTAGTACAATTTTGCGTACCATTTTCTTGTTCGTCACTGAAGAGCAAAAATGAAAAAGAATTTTAAGATTCATAAGTGATGTTACTGCTGAGAATACTCACTACGTGAGATTCTGATTATCATACCAGTTCCAAACAGTAGTGCACACCATTAAAAATGTACTCACAAATTGCATTCAACAGATATAATTTCAAGCCTCTATTGTACAAAATTTCTTTTTCAAATTGTTATAGTTTAAATGAAAAGTTTTTTAATCGAATTTTTCTTGGATTAGTTTTCTAAAATTAATAGATGAATGAACTTTTAAATTGATTAATCAAATAGACATGAGTGAGAAGATATGAATTACTCACATGAGTTGGTGTCGAATGCCAGTTTAGCAGCAGAGGCTTCTGTCGGTTTCTAAAACAGACAGTTTGCACATCATTACACTGGGCGGAGGGGAGATAAAGACACATCCTAGTAAAAAAAGGGCGGAACAAGCGTGCAGATGGGCAGCAGGCGAAGGTGAGCTTCAATCAAATTTCGATACAATTATGTAGGCTTATAAGTACAATTAAACAAAAAGAATGATTAACACGAATGGGGTCTTCCTAAAATTTATACGATATGCGAAAGCGATGCCAATTAACATAAATTCCAAAACAAAATACATGGGTTGTGAATTCTTTAGCACGCAAGGAAAATAGTCAATCGAAGATTGGAAAAGAGTAATGAACGCAAGTAAACGAAAAAACACTGACTTTGTTGAAAAAATCCCAAATTTCGAATTTCAAAGAAAAAAATAGATACTCTTTAAGCTCTTTGAATTTCTAGAACAACTTATAATTGGCATTTTTCGATAACATGAACCCACCTTGAGAAAACTAGGTTAATAGGTAAAGTTTTTATTCAGCTGAGAAATCTCAAAAATAATTTCCACTTCCGAAACTAGAAATAGTTCACGTTTTTTCGCGCCATTTCCACGTTCGAATTTGGGAGTGCTATTTACGTCACTTTCAGCAGATGAATTTCAATTAAACCCAAAAAGTGCATTAAACCTAAGTGAATCACTCACTATTTTAAGACTTTTTCCTGGAAAAAAAATCAGCGAGACCTATATGAGTCTTCACTACCTTCTTTACTTTTAATAAAGGAACTATCCATAAGATAACAGCAAAATCACAAAGTTTGATGTCAATATAAAATGGGCTAAAAATACACTAAAAAAACGAACAAGCAGAAAAAACTTTTTATGCAAACACAGATGAAAAACAAGGATAGCCGGTTACTGTGCAAGTAGCACAGAATGTTTCGACCATGGTCTTAAGTTTTCTTTTCCAAATTAGTGTAGTTTTTTCGGCTTGGTTTGATAAAAGTATCTGACATATAAATATAATTTAAGCATATTAGACAGTCATAGTAATAAAGGCAAATTGGACAAAATTTTACTAGTTTTACATTCTTACATTAAGTTTTAAGGTCCTAAATCAGGCACAATTCAGCTGTTGTAAGCCTGCTCACTTCTTTATTCGCTCGAATTGAATTGATACGAAAAATTAATATGATATATCACTCAACTTAGTCCGATGATTATTTGTGGTACCTGATTTTGCGTGGAAAACAAAAAGAAAAAACTAAAACACACCCGAATACAAAGTTCCTCTCCATTTTCAATGGTCGGAACAAAAAGCAAATATATGATCGACCAAATTTTGTAAAATTGCCACCAAAATATTAAACAGAAGACAGAGCAAATTATAAAAAGCGTCAGAAAAGTAACACACAAAATAAGTTAATAAAATTTTTCTGATGGATTAAAAAAAACCAATAAAGGAAATCAAATTTACACTCAGAACTACACACGCAGTATTTTCAAGCACAAATAAAGCATAAAAAGGATAGGATCAAAAATTGAGAAATCAACCAGGACAATAACCGTGTAGCCATAAAAATAGAGAAATCAAAGTGGCAAACAAAAAATTAAATACTTTTTAAAATAATATACAAAATTACTGCCGAAAGTTGCAGAAGCTTTAAGGACATCAATTTTTGACGATCATCTCCTTTCGAGATCAATGGGAAGTTTTAAGAAAAAGAATGATAAATATTCAGAATTCACGATTTTCGTGATTTTGAGTTCTATAAAGCATTCCATTGATACATGCTTCCGAGAGATTCAAAACTAGGAACCTCTTGCTTATTATTTTGTGCGTTTGAGAATTTTTCAGAATTCCTGAAAACTTCAGTTTCGACCATTGCAACACAGAGGTGAAGCTAAGCTTCGCACCACTTGCGATACAAACATAAATTTTATAAAAACCAAACGGAAAAATCGTTTTTGTCAATAAAAATTGTAACAAAAGCCCAAAACGAAAACGTCCGGAACAAAATTGCCTGACCATTAGAAACGCGGCAAATAGCTTTGGGCAAATGCTGACCATTAGAAACGCGGCAAATGCTATAAAGAAGCCAAGTTTTCAAAAAGTCCTTTCTGCGGAACTGAGCCGACAAAAATTAGCAGACAGACAATTATCTAAATTAGCCAAAATTTTCTATTTACAAGAGAAACAAGTCCAACTGGAATCGAACACCCGGAAATTGTCGTCTCAAGCATGGGGTTACAGCAACTTGGAATACAGCTGAACTATCGAGCTACGGGAGCTAAGCCGACAAAAATAAACAGACGGATGATAATCCGAAAAAGCACAAAAACTATAGTTTGCAAAATAAGGCCCGGCCAGATTCGAACCGCAAATTTTGCCATCAAGCATTTATTTTATCTCTACACCAGGTACGCCGGATATTTGATCGGATTTGAATTTATAATTATCAAGCGGCAACAAAGCCGAAAAAATTTGAGCAGAAACCCTTCATGCCGAAAAGAAATTCAAAAAAATTCAATGATTATTAAAAATTTCAAGTCCCTTTTCCCATCAGAGCACACATACGCGCACAAAAAAAATTTTTTCTGACGTAATGACGCAAAAAGAGGCCACTTAGTTGTTAATTAGGCCAAAACTTTTTAAGCCGATAAGAAATACGATTTAAAAAAAAAATTCAAGAAATCGAGCTGGTAAAATTACAAATAATGTGAAAAGCAAATTTCGATTCGGCTGGATTTTTAAAATGATAAAAACAACTGTAGTTTAAATAGTTTACAGCTAAAATGAACTGTTCCTAGATGTGGCAACATATCCGATAAAACATAAGCAGACAAATAATAGGCAGAATTTTTTTTGAGCCGTAGCAATAACCGTTTGAAAAAAAACTGGTCCAGGTCAGATTCGAACCCAGGAACTTTACCGTCCCAGCCGCATTAGTTACCACCAAGCTAAGCGTGTAAGAGACACTTCAAATTTTGAATTCATTATGAACCAAGTTACCATCAGTTTGATGAGTCCTGTGGACAAAGCTGTTCACGGGAAAAAAGTCAAGAACCCAATTGCAATACCCTTGCAATCGCGAGGGTAATAACCAGAACTAAGCACGAACAAAATCTCATATTTTCACTCTTAATAGGCTACGCTACGCAAAGACTGCAGCAACAAACTTTTAAGGTTTTATGGAAATGAAAACATAGCGAATAATGGGAAAAGAGATACGGAATTCAAAGAGACATTTGATAATAAAAAAGTTTAGAAATTAGAGCACCTCAGCTCTTTAAAAATTAGAGCACCTCAGCGCCGAGAATCCACTCTGATGAAACGTTTAAACAGAACTAAAACAAGTTAGAAAGCTGAGCTAGAAGGTAATGTTTTTTATTTCCACTCGGAAAATGAACATTTACATGAACATATGAAAAATCAAGCTCCGTTTTTCGAGCCATTCCCACATTTGCTATTGGCGAGCGGAATTTCCATTTCACTGGGCAAAACAAAGATAACTGAAGATGAAATCGAAAGTTTTGCCGACAAAATAAAAAAAAATTGAACGGAAATACATTTAAACACTTTGTCCAAAAAAACCACGACCTTAAAAATTTAAAACTCACTCCGTGCTCACTAATATTAATTTATTGAAGACTAAAATATTCAGTACTATTATATTTGCACACTTCGAATTAGAGTTTCGGAATAATTTCCACTGAGAAATATAAAACTAAAATTCACGTTCGAACCTTTAGAAAAGATTCGTTTTTCTTCGTACTATTTCTGCTTCCTTAAGAAAGCGTAATTTGCCTTCCTTTTAGCGTATGAATTTAAATTGAGAATAAAAAATTGAAAGTCAAAGGGCAAAAGATCAAATTTGGTGTAAAAAAATTTTCAGTTTTTACTGAAGAAATAAACCAAAATCAACATGACCTATTAAAGCGTCTTCACTATGTTCATCGGCAGTTAAAACGTTAAATAAAATATCAAATTTATCAAACTTTTTAGTAAACAATTTCTCGTAAATTTAAGCATTAGATTTGAAAAAGTTAGTGATACCAAGCGGTGTTTCGCATCACTTGCAGGCCAGGAAAAATAGTCACAATGTAACACAACGGTAATGTTTCACTTAGCGTATCGAGACAGATAGAGTTTCAAAATGAAGCTTGGACACAGAGGCGAAGCGGTGCTTCGCACCACTTGCGATACCACACACACATAGCATTTCAAGCTAGCAGACAGAAAATGAAACATAAGCCACTAAGTCGAAAAACAATTAGAACATTTGGAAAAAACCATAACTACAAGACTTTCAGAAATTTAGCTGTAAAGATGTTCAATTTAAAAACAGAAACACTCGCGTTTAATAAGTATTCAGACACAAAAATTGATCGGCAACTAAGCCGGCAAAAATTGGTTGGACTACCGTCGAGCAGTTTTTTTTTTCAATTGGATATTTTTGAGAGTTCCGAAAATATAAACTTTGACGCTCTCCCTCCGCAAACACACAAGAGTAAAAATCTTTTTTTTTCCTTTAAAACAACGCTTAACTAGGTCACTTACTCGATAAAACATAAGCAAAAAAACTGAAGCCAAACAAACCAGCGAAAAAAATTACAAACTTAGTAAGTGTACAAATTACACTAACAAATGAAACCTCTTTCAGTTACAATAAAAATTACTTACGGCCCAGCAAAAATCCGTAACAAGGAAGCCGACCAAACATAAGCAGACACACAACAGGTCGACAATTTTTGAAACAGATTATTTCCCTTTTGAATAAAAAAAATTCTGGTCTGGTTCAAACACAGAACCTTTACCACCTCAGGTGTAGTATTTTTCTCAAAAACCATGTGTGCCTGAAAAGCAAGTTTAATTTTGATGTAAAAACTTTCGAAGCTAATAAAAACTATACAGAGCGAAGATGCAACTTCGCAAACACGAGCAGAAAAGAACAAAAAATTCAGGATTTTAAAAATGCACAAAAACTCAAACTTTTCAGAAATAAATTAAGATGTATATAAACAAATTGCTTCTAAGTTATGCCTTGCAAAAAAAGTCGCGAAGTATATCGAGTTGGGAAAATTCTGAAATGTGATTATAATTATTATACTGTTTTATAAAACAAATAAACTTTTTCGGTTCAATTGATGAATTAAAAAAGCGTCAACTGTGCTAACTTATTGCGAATCATATGTCAAAGCCCATGATATTATAATGCGTATGCAGCCTAAGGATGCAAAATTGACACTATAAGTAACCTTTTTATTTGCGACTTAGGTTGGAAAAAATTTGCATCGTTCTATCACGGAACGCTACACTCGTGTTATCACACTAAAGCTCTTTGACATTCAAGAATCGTGTATCATTAGAACGAACCCACATTCTCGAAAACCAACCCAATTAGATAAACCAGATAGACTTTTTTTTTTCAATTGGATATTTTTGAGAGTTCCGAAAATATAAACTTTGACGCTCTCCCTCCGCAAACACACAGGAGTAAAAATCTTTTTTTTTCCTTTAAAACAACGCTTAACTAGGTCACTTACTCGATAAAACATAAGCAAAAAAACTGAAGCCAAACAAACCAGCGAAAAAAATTACAAACTTAGTAAGTGTACAAATTACACTAACAAATGAAACCTCTTTCAGTTACAATAAAAATTACTTACGGCCCAGCAAAAATCCGTAACAAGGAAGCCGACCAAACATAAGCAGACACACAACAGGTCGACAATTTTTGAAACAGATTATTTCCCTTTTGAATAAAAAAAATTCTGGTCTGGTTCAAACACAGAACCTTTACCACCTCAGGTGTAGTATTTTTCTCAAAAACCATGTGTGCCTGAAAAGCAAGTTTAATTTTGATGTAAAAACTTTCGAAGCTAATAAAAACTATACAGAGCGAAGATGCAACTTCGCAAACACGAGCAGAAAAGAACAAAAAATTCAGGATTTTAAAAATGCACAAAAACTCAAACTTTTCAGAAATAAATTAAGATGTATATAAACAAATTGCTTCTAAGTTATGCCTTGCAAAAAAAGTCGCGAAGTATATCGAGTTGGGAAAATTCTGAAATGTGATTATAATTATTATACTGTTTTATAAAACAAATAAACTTTTTCGGTTCAATTGATGAATTAAAAAAGCGTCAACTGTGCTAACTTATTGCGAATCATATGTCAAAGCCCATGATATTATAATGCGTATGCAGCCTAAGGATGCAAAATTGACACTATAAGTAACCTTTTTATTTGCGACTTAGGTTGGAAAAAATTTGCATCGTTCTATCACGGAACGCTACACTCGTGTTATCACACTAAAGCTCTTTGACATTCAAGAATCGTGTATCATTAGAACGAACCCACATTCTCGAAAACCAACCCAATTAGATAAACCAGATAGACTTTCTCTATTCTGCTGAGAAATCCAAAAACTCACTTTCGAAAAATCAAGTCATTAAGGTTTTTTATGCCATTTGCACTTCGTAATTGGAGAACGTAGTTTGCCTTTCTTCTAGGAAATGAACTCAAACTATTACTGAGCGTAATAAAAATAAACCACGCGACCTTAATAATGGCGGCTTCCCCCATGATGAAGGACCAAATGTTGGATATTTATTTTCAGTTACTTTTAGCCAATAAGGATTGTGTAATCCAAAATCTACAAGAAATCACAAGAACCTCAACACAGAGATGAAGCTGAGCTTCGCACCACTTGCGATACAAATATGATTGACTATGAAAATAAAACGGAAAAATTCATAAATCGTTTTGGTCAATAGAATTTGCAACTTAAGTCCAATATATCCGGAACAAAATTACCTACAACATTAGAAACTCTACAAAGAGTTTTGAGAATACTATACAGAAGCCAAGTTTTCAAAAAAATCCTTTCTGTGGAAATAAGCAGATAAAAATAAGCAGACAGACAATAATCTAAATTAGCCAAAATTTTTTATTTGCAAGAACAACAAGTTTCAACTGAAACCGAACTCCCGAGCTTTGTCGTCTCAAGCATGGAGGTTACAGCAACTTGGAATAAAGCTGAAGCATCGAGCCACGGGAACTAAGCCGACAAAAATAAACAGACGGAAGATAATCCGAAAAAGCACAAGAACTCTAGTTTGCAAAAAAGGCCGGATTCAAACCGCAGACCTTTGCCGTCTCAAGCAGTTGTTTTACCTTTACTCCAGATGCGCCGAACGTTTGATTTGATTTTAATTTATGGTTACCAAGCGGTAACAAAGCCGAAAAACCTGAGCAGAAACCTTTCATGCCGATAAGAAATTCAAAAAATCCTTCACTTATAAAAACTGTTAAGTCGCTTTTCCCCTCAGAGCACACACACGCGGACAAAAGTTTTTTTTTGGACGTAGGAACGCAAAAAGAGGCCACTAGGTCGTCGATATGAAGCCGAAAATTATTAAGCCGATAAAAAAAGAAGAAACAATGAAAAAATAAAGTGACATTTTAACAAATCGAGCTGGTAAAATTACAAATTGAAAAGCAAATTTCGATCATGCCGGACTTTTAAAATGCTTAAAATAATTGCAGTAAAAATTGTTTTCAGCTAAAATAAGCGATTCTCAGATGCGTCAACTAAGCCGTTAAAATAAGCAGACAAACGATAAGGCGAATTTTTTTTGAACCGGAACATCAGCCGTTTAAAAAACGGGTTCTGGTCAGATTCGAACCCAGGACCTTTGCCATCCCAGACGTATTCGTTACCACCAGGCTAAGTGTGCGATATACACTACAAATTTGAATTCATACTGAACCAAGGTACCAAAGTTGTGGATAGAATTGTTTACTGGAAAAAAAGTCTAGTAAACAATTCTATCCACAACTTAGCATACCTCTTCAGAGAGGGAACTTACACCAAAAGTGTTGTAGTCTAGGTATAAACATGGCTAGCAAAGTTTAAAAAAAAATCCCGAGCCGAAAAAAAATAATCAAAAAATTCTGATCGAAACAAAAACATGTCAAGACAATGAAATGAGAAATTGGCATCGGAAGAAACAAAACCAAGTGGTAACAAAGCCGAAAATAGCTTAGTAGAAACCCTCTAAACCGAAAAAAAAATCAACGAGTTTCAGACAAAACGTTACGTCCCCTCATGCTCATAACACACTTTCTTTGCTCGTTAAATGAAACAAAATGAGCCCAATCAGCCGATATATGAAAATCCCAAAAAAGGAAAATAAAAGACAAAAGCCAAAGAAAACTTACTAAACTAAAAGACTAATAAAAAAAACTTACTAAACTTAAAAACTAATAAAAAACTATTAAGTTCTCCTAACCCTCAAAACATACACACGCAATCATAAACTTTGAGACGCAATATGAGACTATTGACTCATATAATAAAGGCTGAAATCTATCAAGCCGACAAAAAAGTAAAGAAAAAATGTTGTCAAGAAAAACTTTAAATTCAATTAAGATTTTAGCAATTTGTGCAATACACAGAGGTGAGCATGAAAATTAGTTGTCGAAACTACTCATAGTGAGGTCACTTAGCCAATTGAATATATGCCGAAATCAATTGGGCAAAATAATTTTTCAAGCGAAAAAAAAAGAAAATACGAAGTCAAGTTTAAAAAAATAACAAACCGAAGTAGATCAAAACACTAAAAACAACTATAATGTTAAATGCGCATCTGAAAAAAAAACAATTCTAAGATGCGGCAACTAATCCGACAAAACTTAAAAGCAGATAAATAATAAGCCGACAACTTTTCTGAAACGAAAAATTCTCGTTTGAAAAAAAAAAACAGATCCTGCCAGATTCGAACCCAGGACCTTTACGGTCCCCTGCGTATTTGTTAACCCCAGACCAAATGTGACGGAGACACCACAAAATTTTAATTCATTCGAACTGAGAACCTATACTTGCCATTTCTAATTTTGACCATTCTGTGAACGAAGTTATCAACGGTAAAAAGTCTAGTACCTGATTGCAATACCCTTGCTATCGCAAGGTTAAAGAATTCGAATAAATCTAGGCCATATAAATTAATATTGAGCGATTAGAAAATAGCAGCTACACGCAATCTCAAATATAGCGAAATCGAAGTCGGGTACTGGAAAACACCTTGAACCGATTTTTAAAAAATGAAAAAAGAATTCTGTGCTCCAGCTATAATTGATTTCCTGTTAATAATGACTTCGGTTTTGCGCAAACGTGATTTAGCCAATAGGAACGACTAACATTTCTGATTGGTTAAAGTCGGTACCTCTATCATGAGAATATCCCCTCTAAATAATGTTCATCGACACCAAATAAATCAGTATCAATAATTACAATGCACTTGAGACCTTTTTATTAGTACGTTGATTTACTCAAATAAATAAGCAGAAATTCTAGCTAGGGAACGCCTGAAAACTCGATCCACTTAAATAAGTGGTGATTAACAATGGGTTTGTTCATTAACATTTAATTTAATGCAAATAGTCACAATCAATTGCACATATTGACGGCGGCTGCCCTTTTGGCTACTACGTCGGAGCACTGTGCCATCAAAGCTTTTGTTTGATTATCTAGCGATGAAAAACTCTTTCCGACAAGCTTCGCTAAATGCAGAGGCAGTTTCTTGTCAAACTGTAACTGTAACACTTCTTCGGGGGTAAACAAGGTGGTCCGAACTACCGATGCACTCAGCTCCCTCAAACTTCCCGGGCATTCCTCATTGAGCAGACAGAGGATGCTGTTGCTGTTGCTACTGGCGTTGCTTGCGCTTAAGGACGAGACGACGTCCTTGACCCACTTGTCAGTGTTGGAGACTAGAGACAGCGAAATTAGCAAGGCAAGTCCAGATGGAGCCGACTGACGTGGTACATTAATTTCGGATTCATCACTCGTAGAAGCAGTCAACAAAGACCTCCACAGTCTAAACTGAAACCGATTCCAATAGCTTCTGCAGGAGGCACAACAGTCGGAGACGGAGAGTATGAACCAAAGACTTGACACCTGCAGTGGCTGGCGCGAGCGACGATTGCTGTAGTTATTTGATTGCATGATTTCTGAACTGGACAGGTCCCCAAGTTTGGTCACGGCGGGTATGGGGTCAACCACAACTGAGGAAGAGGAGTTGAGTAGGAGCCACTGAGTGAGCATGTGGAACAGAGTCTGGTGCCTAGATGCGTACTGAAGGCTCGTAGCCAGGAGAGGCGTGGCGGCGCCTGTGAGGAAGTCGAACTTGTACACTGGTCCACTACTATTACTGCCGGTGTAGAGCTGGAACAGGAAATTAAACACTTGTGCGTGTGCCTCTAATAGCTCTTCCACCTCAAACAGGCTACCACGATTATGTTCAGGAGCAGATTCTGTGGTGGACGAATGAGCGACGGAGGCCACGGCTGAAACAGTGGCAGCCAAACACATCTCTATGGGATACAGCAACACGTTACTGCTCCTACTAAAGGGGACCTCAAGGGTCACTTGACAGATGTCAGAGGCGGCAATTGCCACTTGCTGTCCACTGCCGTTATCATCTGAATGATCAAAGAAGAACATGACAAACGACAGCTTCGCTTCTCGGATGGCAGAGAAAGCGAGTTGCTTCCTAAGTTCAAGCGACACTTCTCCACTGAAATAATCGATGAGATAAGAGAATGTCTGTAGCAGATTCTTGCCAACTGCCTCAAATAACGCAGAGGCCACATTGCATTTGTTAGCACCACTATCAACCAGCAGTCGAATCAACTGCAAACTCAGCATGTCTTTGTCTGTCCGCATTGCACAATTGATTAATGTTCCTTTGCTGCTGCTGCTACTACTACTATAGTCACGCTGCAATGAAACTGAACTATTCAGATTCATATCAACAGCTCCTTCTTCTCGTCCGATTCCTTCAGTGGCCCTCGTTCTGCTTAGTAGCATGGACAGGGTCCGAAGGAGAAGAGGCGGGGGAGTGAAGAGACAAGCGAGGTGCAGCACATTCCAGCCCATACAATCTGTGGCATCTATCTCTGCAGATTTGTCCAGGAAGAAAGCAATGAGAGAAGATGACGTAGAAGGTTCTGCTTCTCGGTGTCCTTCGCCCCTCATCACACTCAGATGCAGACCCGTGCGACCGTTTGAGTCCCTGGCGTCTATATGAGCGCCGTGACGTAACAGCAGTGCACACATGGGAACTGAGGTGGCCACGTGGAGTGGAGTGTGTCCCTCGATGTCTTCCACATCCACGCTGGCTCCGCACTCTCCGATCAGTTTGTCGGCCACCTCCAACTGGTCACCACTCACCGCATAGTGTAGCACTGTCCTCCCTAAACACAACACAACTCTCCAATTTACGAATTCACTTCGCCAAACCTGCTTTGAACACCCTCAAATTCTCAATTTCTTCGCGTTTTTCTGACTAATTTACACGGAGGAGTAAACTTCTGATCTAATCCTTATGCAATTTTATTTTTATTTTGGCTAAAATCACTTGATTGTTGCAAATTATTACCTAACTGAATCATCTCATATCGCCCAAAAACTACTTAGGGGGAAAAATTGTTTTGATTATATATTTTCGCTAACAATAGTATCGTGACATAGATGACTGTGGTCCGAATATCCTATGCTACTTCCAGAAAAACTGGCTATCCTTACTCTAGCATGGTTTGTTTCCACAAGTTCTAATTTCTCCGAGTCTATTCAATGCAAAAAAACAGAGCCACCAGATAATTGAAACATAATCTGCTTACAGTTGGGGAAAAGTCAACAAACAAGTTTAAAAAAAACACGCCGTTTTTTGAAATTTTAAATTTTCGAATTTCGAAGAAAAAATTGATAATCTAATGGCTCTTGAGTTTCTAGGACAATTTATGATCGACACCTTTATAGTTCGCAGGGAATTCAGAAATCTAAATTCCATTTCCGAAATAAGATTATTTAGATAATTCAGAACTTTTAGGCTATTTGTACCGTTTAACAATGCAATTTGTAGAAAATAATGCAATTTAAAAAAAAAACGGAGACAGAGGAAAAAAATATTAATTTGAAATTGGATTATCACATCGCGAAGAAGTTAATTAAAGCAAGACGAACTTTCAATTAGCTGCGACATAATATGCCAAAAAATGTGCCATCCGGTTTGAAGTTTAATTTATTCAAAACTTGTGTAAGGTCAATAATTTTATTCGGTTAACCTGCGTGGTTTCCGAGTCTCTGTTCACTTCGCAAACTAGAACAGCTCAATCACCAGGGAGGGACTTTAATGGTCATATGGTCCGTTAGGCTATCAAAAATTCACCGTTCACCGCCAATTTTCAAGTTCACCGTCAATTTCCTATCCACGTATCGATATTGATCTCCGCTTTCTCGCCACACTTAAAGAAGGCCTGAATTGCATTCGTTTCGATGACTATTTTTGTTTTAAAGACTCATCGAGGAAACTTCGAGGCACACATGTCTTGCAATTGAAACAGCGATTCGCTTATTGCAAGGGTAGTTGAACTTCAAAAGAAATCATCAGTGAAACCGCAAAAAAGAATTAAGCGAACAATTTTTTTGAAGTATTTCAGAAAAAAAATCACAGCCATGCCCATTTTCAGACTTTTGCTTTAAAAAAAAAACAAAAAAAAACCAAGACCTATATCATAGCCAGCTGACTGTTGGACAAATTAATGAACGCAAGGATACTGAAAGACTAAGGAAAAAAATTTATGCTCTTAAAGTTCTTCGAATTTCAAGATTGGTGCTTTTTTTGATCAAATAGAAAACTGGATCGAATTCTAGAAAAATGAATCAAAAGGTAAAAATTAAATTTCGCTGGTATCTGAAAGTTAAATTCCATTTTCGAAAATCAAAATCGATCATCTTTTTCGTGACTTTTACATTTTGCTGTTCGATAGTGGAGTTTGCCTTCCTTTTAACAAACGGAACGAAGTGAATAACAAACGGAAGGAAGTGAACTTGAAATGAAATTAAAAGTCAAACGCTTAAAATCAAAATTGAGCGTGAACAAATTTGAAGACTTTTCCCTCAAAAAAAATATATAAACCAAGACCTATATTAGAGTCCTCACTGCGTTCAAAACTCTTAATAAAAGTATTCACTACGTTCATGACTCTTACACAAAAAAGAAAAATGTTCGCAATTTCATGGCAGAGTTATTATACAGGGTAGTGTCTAAACGCCCCAATTAAAATAATCCCCCTTTGGAAATAGCCTCACCATAAATGTGCCGGAATCGAATCTGGTACCTAATTTATCATACAGGGTAGTGCGTAACGTCTCAATTAACATAATCTTCCTTTGGAGATAGCCTCACCATAAATGTGCCGGAATCGAATCTGGGACCTAATTTATCATACAGGGTAGTGCGTAAACGTCTCAATTAACATAATCTTCCTTTGGAGATAGCCTCACCATAAATGTGCCGGATTCGAATCTGGGACCTCCCGATTAAGAGTCACACGCCCTAGCATCTGCCCCATGGACGCTTAAAACTCTTTTAACACTAAGCAGCAATAAGCCAGATACAACGATATAAGGCGATATAAGTAAACAAAAATAATACTTATGCTGCAAAAGCGCCACCAGCCCTTTCATTTACAATTTGGTTGGAAAAACAAGAATATCATAATACATAACTACACTTCGTATGTGTAACACAGAGGCAAAGCTGTGCTTCGCAAACACTTGCGATAACACGACCAAAATTAGCTCTATCAAGTGACATAAGAAAAAGTAGAAATAAGCCTCGAATTTGCAAAAACTCGTAGACTTAGCAAAAACTCGAATTAGCAGAAATCTGCGACCTAGCAAATTTGAGTCTCACGCACAAACCATTCAACCACGCATGCTTAAAAGCCCCAAAAACTAGCCACCAATAACGCACGTACATATGCTAATAAATTGCCAATTCGATGCAGCAAAAGTAGCACAAAATACAAAAAAGATACAATTTTGCAAATAATAAATTGCAAATCATAAAGCCACATTATGTATAAATAATGCATTTCAAAAAATTGCGACACATTGGGTTAGAAAATTTTCGAAATCGAGATTTTATTATTGTTATGATGTTTGAAACAAATAACTTTCTTCAGTTCACTTGATGAATGAATTAAAAATTCATCAACTGTGTAAACTTATAACTATTCGAATGTCAAAGCATATGCTATCAGTAAGCTGTAAAGGTGCAACAAATAAGCTGTCATGCCAATTCGATGCAGCAAATTAGACGTCGCAACAAAAATCGCAACAATATGTGCGACTTAGGTTGAAAAAAAGAAAGTTCGCACTATAACACATTGCTTCGCAAGTGTTATTACAGTATTTATAGGCTTATTTGGGTATCCGGATCTCTTAAACTATTACCCCCTTTTGCAAAAGGGGGAGTTTCGTTACCAAGTACAAAACTCATATATACTTACTTAATCAGTGAAATATTTCTCTATAGGAGTGGCAATTGGTTACCAGCTAGCCTAGAGGGGAATATTTAAAGAGATCTCAATATCCTCAACCTCAGATTTGGCAGGGTGAGTTTCACAAAAAGAATAAAAATTTCTTTTTTTTTCAAAGTTCATAGCGGTTTTTCTACCAGTATCGGCTCATACAGGGAAATCCCCAAAATATCTTCTTCGATTGAGCCCTCAGCCCCGTTTTGAAAGGGTAGTTTTTGAGAACCAAATCACAAAAACGATCTAATATTAAATAATGGACATCTCCCAAAATGGTGGGATGGAGGTGTGAACTAACCGTCACAGTCCGGCAATTGAAGCAGGAGTTTTGGATGGTGGGAAGCTGCGGTCATGTCTAGCAGATAGTGGAGAAGGGACGAAGATGGGTGGAACTCAGTGGCCAAATGAAGCACAGTGCATCCATCCACTCTGTCTCTCACGCCTAGCACACCACCCACACCCACATCATCGGCACAGCGACCAAGGGGGCGGAGAAGCATCAGTTGATCCAGCATAAATCTAACAGCAGCAGTCTGCATCTCTCCATCCTGTGGCCTCTGGGTCTCGGAGGAGGGCAGAAAGAGGAAGTGGAGAGCTGTATATCCATTCTCACCTATTAAAAAACACCAATTCTTAGACAAAATACAGTCATCAATAGAAGAGCATTTGCCTGTCTTTATTGTTTTTAATAAGGTACTCAAGGGTACCCTTTCATGGGACTGATGAACCGAGGAGGTTAATTATTTCAGTGCTTATGAATACGAATTGTCATAATTAGTTCACAGCTATCAATAACATAACCACTTGTACATTAAACAAGCAATACTGCTCTATAAGCCCCTAAAATAAAGAAAGTGAATTAAGAAAATGAATACTTATCAAAATTCAAAAGTGAGATTTAGAAAAACTACCTCATTATCTGAATATTCTCTTTGTTTTTTGTTTAATAAAAACTGCTTTTGGCTACTGCAAATCCGAGTCAATTATGTGATAATTTTTTTGAAGATATCTGTGGTTATGTGTCTTTTTATGATGATCCTGAGAATTTTGATTTTTTTCATCCTTCATTTATTTAGCCAGTAGGCACTGGACAACTCAGCAGCATTCAGTTCGGCTTTAGCTTCAGAGCAAATAGTCAGTTCAACTCACCCGTGACTGATTGAGGACACTTCGTGTGGGGCAGCAGACACGAGAAGAGGGGCAGGTGTTTGAAGAGACAGGCGTAGTGAATGGGCAAATTGCCTCTGGTGTCTCTAACATTTGCCCAGTGTGGAAAGTGGTGTAGCAGTAGTTGCACGCAGTCCACATGTCTCGCCCTCACACCCATGTGCAAGGCAGTGTCGTTTCCAAAACACCTCCCCCCTCCCCCTCCCCCTCCCACTCTCTGTCTCAGCCTATCAATGTCCAGCATATCCCAGTGCAGATCAACATGTTCAATCAGGCACTTAAGCACCTGTTTGCTTCCCATCTGCGCAGCCAAGTGTATTACAGAGGGGAGATCTTCTTTCTGTGAGGTTAGCCAAATATTGGCGCCTTCTTCCATCAGAATTTGTGCGCCTTCAGCCCAGTCCATTGCTACACAAATACTAAGAGGCGACCACTTGTTCGATCGTACACAAAGCACTCTGTTCAAAAAGGAAAATTGTTCGTTGCAGGAGACAACTTGGCGCATTATTCTTTCGCACAACTCCAACTGATAGGCTGTAACATGCAAATTTTCTTCTTCACTAGGCAGCATTTCATTGATACATTTCTTAAAGCGCTCCTGTTTGAGAAGATACTTCAACAAGGGCGCGCTGCGCGAAAAACAGGTACAGTGTAAACTTTTGAATCCAATAAAGTGCAGTTGGGTTAGGTCGCAGTGGTCGTCGTCAGTCCACATTTGATAGAAGTCCACCAGACAAGACACCACGTTTACATTTGCACACAAACAGGCTAGAGTGAACGGATGGATGAAGCTATGTGTGAAAGGGTCACCTAAACACACTCTCCCGCTGTCGCCCCCCTTATGAGTTTGAAGTGTTGCTTCTGTTTTGGTGGGCGAAGTGGGGACAAGTTCAATTACGGAGTGAAGCAACAGTTTACGCAACAGTGGCACGTGTCCATTCACACATACCATGTGAATACAGTTCGGCCACGGGGGTAGAGTAGGTGGGGGAGGTACTTCCACTTCTGTTGTGCTATGTGAATCCCAGGTGGTCGATGAAGAATCACTAGTACCAGTGAGGGAACTGTGTGCTCTCTCAGCGCAAAGAGTGGCTCCATACCGATAGAGCAGAAGATCGACGATGCTGGACCGATTCGTGGCACAGGCAACAAACAGAGGAGTGAGATGAGTCATTTCTGGAATGACGGCACTGCAGTTGGCAAGGTGTTTGTGCTTGGACAGAATCTTCACCAACGAGACTACATTACCAGTCTGACACGCCTTCCCGATGGGAGCCATCCTCGGCTGCCGTTCGGCGCATGTATTTTCTTCTTGTGATGAAAGGGAAGGAAATCCAAGCGCTTTGAGCCATTGCTGCAGAAAAACGAGGCCCAGAGAAGGATCAGGAGCAGAGGTAGACTCAGTACTCATGGCACAGATCATTCAGTCTACTCTACGTTATTATAAATTGCACGTAATATTCGAGACAGTTTCAGCAATATATTGAACAATTAGATAGATAAAAAAAGTCTTATAATTTGTAATTTAACACATGACTGACGAAACACAAACTAACAATAAACGAAAGCAAGCTAATCAAGCCACAGATTCATTCTATACATTCTACTCTGCATTTGTTGAGAGTTAACCGAGATCTATCAAAAACACAACTTATTCTCCAAACGTCACTCAAGTGTTGGACTGGGCGGGTTTTTTTTGCGAGAGGTATTACTAGCTACTAAAACAAGCACACCTCAATCCAAAGCCCTTTCTCACACCATTAGTGGAGTTAGAACAGCACATAATCAAGCACTATACCAAAATTTAGAAAAGTCAAGAACACATCCAAGCATTCATTAAAAACAAAAAGGCAAAACCCTACATAACAGGCTTTTCTATTTTCTCTAGCACAGTAGTGACGGTTCAAAAGGGTCCGTAGAATAGAACAGAATATAATGAAAATGAATAAGACCTGTACGCGCGTGGAGGTGGTTTCCTCATGAAGAAACAATTCCCTCTCTACAGATCGATCCCTCCTCTCCACGCTTCTGTCCCGCTGGCCCCCATTCGCCACTAATAGTCTACTACTGCTTCCGACCGCCGCACCACTTAGACCAGTGCCAGTGCTTACGTCTGCAGTAGCAGTAGTAACTGCACCCGAGGGGGGTCTCCGACGGGATGCAGCTGTTGCCTTGTGATTGTGATTAAAACCCCCCTCCTCCATCAGCATCATCTTGTCGCCCAGAGGAGTGTTGGCGGAGGAGTGTTGATGGAGTGCCAGTCCAACTGTAGCCGCTGTAGTCCACTGTCTTTCTCTGTTTTCTGGGCTGCCCGGCTGCTGTTGACTGCAGTGACTGCTGCCACCGCTCTTCTCATTTCTCATTCTCACTTCGTGGTCGCCCTTCGAGTCGGACTGAGAAGTAGCGACATGATCTCGTCGTCTTCCTCCTCCATCTTGATCTGATACTGCACCCCCAACAGAGTCTGTAGGCAGCGGCTGCAATGTCACAGCAGTGGAGGAGCTGCTCTGCTTCTCCGTAGACGTCTTCCGCTTCTCCTTCATCTTCAAATCCTCGTCTGCACTACTGGTCTGGTTATTCTGTTCGCCTAGCAAGTCCTTCTGCTGTTCGGCCAACTGTTGAATTCCTCCCAGAAAAATGCTGGCAGATTTGTTGATTTTAGTAAACAAAGTCAGCACTTCTTCCAGATCATTCTCGCTACATCAGAACACACATCACTTGATCCCGCTCAAGATTCCATTAAGTAAATTATATATATTAACTTCGATAAAACCTTTTAGAAACTTATTGCCGACTCTATTCGAGCAATTCATTCGGTTTGTTTAAAACTTTTTTCGAACTTCAAAAATTTTGTCTACTTATTTTAGGTCGCTAAAATTGATTTTGCAATAGCCCCTCAGAACACTATAAAGCACCACAGGCAACTTTTTGAAAAATAAGTATATATAGGCGCCAAAGGCCGCTTAAGCAAAATTTTAGGGTTGCTGGGTCGAAAATGGATGCTATAAAATAATGTGAAAAGGGTCGAATCCACCCCTGGCTTCTACAATGATTTAATTCAATGCCTGAGGCGAGTGGGTAGGAGATATAACTAACTTGGACAAATCAAGAAATTGTTGGAATATCTGGTCAGAGATAGGGATTTTGTGCTCTTGTTGAGTGGCTGCTGTCTTGTTCTCGCGGGCACTGATTGTGTGAGTGTCCTTGGAGTAGATACTCACGAAGTCAGACAGCTGTTTGGCCAGGATGCGCCGTCTGTCCTGGATCGGCAGCTTCTTACTGGGAACCACGACTCGGAACACCTGGCTCAGATTTTGGGCTGCTCGCCGCAGAAATCTCAGCACCAGATCCTGCAAAACATCATCAACCCACTAACTAAAATGGAGAAAAATGAAACCTGAAAAATCTCATGAAATTGGAGATTATGCAAATAGTGGGGATTGTAAAAAAAAGTCCGCTTCGACAACTAATTGAATTTTATTGAATTTCATCATCCAATATTACACAACACAGAATGAGACAACTAATCTACTCATGCTCGCATGGAAAAAAGGATAGAGAGAGAGAGGAAAGACACAGACAGAATACAGCATGCTCATTGTTCCAATTACCTCGGAAACAGGATCCCACGCAGTATCCTGCAGCAAAAACGTCAACCGGCACATAAGAGTGAACTGAGCTAAATTGCAAATTCAGCCAGAAGACCAACTGGTCAAAGACACACTGGCTAATCAGAGTTGGGAGGTAGAGTGCACTGCCAATACCACAACCTGATTCTTGCAAAGCCCCTTATCTTCCACAGGTAACACAATCATATTTATCATCCAAAAAATCAAATACCACAACCAACATCTCTCCGAAATAATTTAAGCCCATCTTTTTTGTTTAGGAAGAAACAATTTTGACTTAATTTCGTCACTCTTCGCTCGATTGTCAATTGACCGATTGGTGAAACACTATTGCAAAAAAAATCTTTTCCCAACGGCCTAAAACCGAACGTCAATTAACCCTATCGGAAACCTTTTGCGGTCACAATTTTCGTGAAAAAAAGTAATCCCCATAACTTCATTTAGTGGTAATTTCCTTTGGCTTCTAACTGATATCAGCTGATACGAAAAGTGCTCAATTAAACCCAGTGACATGCACAAAAATTTTCTAGTTGGGGGGGGCGGTTTTTCGAAAAAGAAATTATTATATTTATTTATTTTATTTGAATTATATTTATTTTTTGACTTTCCGAGCTCTCCGAAAAGTATAATAAGGACCTTACTTTTTTTTTACAATTTTTCTGCACCGCGCACCGCAGGCAAGTTTCTGCGCCGCAGGCAAAAAAAGGCCAAAAAAGCACTTATTGGAAAATTTTGACCGAAAAATTGTGTTTTTTCGGCGCTCCCCCCCCTCCCCCCCCCCCTCAAAAATGGTTAATTTATCGCCAAAGGCGCCTTTAAAAATTTTTTGGTTAGTCAGCCAAAAATGGATGTTGTTATAACATACCAATGGTGGGATCCTTTGGAAAGATTTGGCAACTACAATTGTGGGGGGAGGGGGGGGGGGGGCATTGAGAAAGCACTCCCAAAACAGCCAAAATAAAGTTGAAGAAGCGTTAATCAATTCAAGGAAAACGGAAACATCGAGTTTTATTGAACAAATTACGTCCTCTTGAGGGCTTTCAAATTCAAAATCGTTTATGACATGGGTAACATACATTTGGAAAAGTGTCAATGAACCCAACTACATTTCGAAATAATTTTTGAGTTTCAAAACAATAAGATTAAAGATCGACTTTCAAAAATCAACATTTGGAGGCGAAAATCCAAAGAAAATTGCAGCAAATGGGTTTAACTATCTAGCGATACATAGTATCAGAAAAAGTTTCACGGCCTTTTCATTTTTATGTCAAACGAAATTCTCGTAAGATTTATTTTTGGAAAAAAAATCATAGACAAATCAAAAATTGCAAAAAAACATAGCCAACAGAAAGTTGGAAAAGAGCTAATAAACGCAATTAAACAGAAACAAAAACACCGACTTGTTTTTTCGAAAAAATCTCAACCTTCGAAATTCAAAACAAAAAACAGATGCCATTTAGGCTCTTTGAACTATGATTTATTAATCTATGATTAATAATCTATTAATAATCTATGATTTAATTTTTTTTGCTATAACTCAATTTGAGACAACTGGATCAATAGATAAACAATTTTATTCCGGTAGTAAATCTGAAAAATATAACCCACTTTTGAAGTCAATCTTAATTTTCAAGACCTTAACACTTTTGCTGTTCGATAGTGGATCTTGTCTTACTTTTAACAAAAGAAATGAACTGAATTTGAAAAAAGATCAATAGTTGAGCTGCCAAAACTTGACAAAGTTGCCACCAAAATAGCACCAAAATTGAGACATAATGTGGGAAAAAAGGAATAGTTTTACTAATACACTCTGGCTGCTGTGATACTAAGGCTTTTGAAACATACATACCAATAGACAGTTGGAAAAGTGTACAGAGAGGCAAAGCTGAGCTTCGCATCACTTGCGATTCAAAACGAATGACTATGAGTGAATTCAAATAACAAACTGAAAAAAAAAATGAAACAAATAATGCAAAAGCCCAAAATATCCTGAACAACATTACCCGCATCGAAAGGAAATTTACAAAGAGCTTTCCGAACGCAAGAAAAAAATGAACTTTCAAAAAAATAATTTCCGCGGGAACTTAGTCAGCAAAAGGGCTTCATCTCAAGCTGCAACTTCGAAGCGTGTTACTGCAACTTCGAAGAAAGCTGAAACTTCAAAAAAATAGAACTACGGGAATCAAGCCGACAAAAATAGGCAAACAGACGATAGTCCGAAAAAGCATAAATAACTAAACTTTGCAAAAAACAGGTCCCGGTCGTATTCTAACCACAAGCCTTTGCCGTCTCAAGCAAGTGCCTCATGCGTCGAATGGTCGACTGAATTTGAAGTTATAATCAGAAACAATACATTATTCGAAAGTTTTTTTCTTTAAAAACTGAAAGATGTAGCTTTTATTAAAAAGTGTGTTCATAAAACGTGTGTGAAAAAACCTTTCATCGCGTTATTTTCTTCGAATTTAATAATGAATTGTTTTGAGCTTTAAAAAAACACCCGACAACTAAGCCGACAAAAATTGGGCCGAAATAAATTAATCCTACAAAAAAAATACATCTGAAACTTTTTTACCAGTACATCTAGTAACGCATTAACCATAAGGCACATTAACTCAATGAATGCACATGAACAGCAAACAAAAAGAGAGCCTTACTTTTTGAAAAAATTTCAATTTTCGAACTTCAAAGAAAAAGGGGGGCATTAAAGCTCTTTGAAAATCTAGACAACTAATGATTGACACTCTTCCCACTTTCGAAACTAGAAATCGATCACGTTTTTCGTGACCTTTACACTTTTGCTATTGGACAGTGGAATTTGCCTGCCATTTAACTGAGCCTTAAAATAAATCATAAGTAAAACCACGAAAAAGTAAATTTGATCCTTTTCCTGAAAAAAAAAAACAACGAACAAAAAACCATCGCGACCTATATTAGAGTTTGAACTACGCTCATCGACTCTTAAAAACAACTTAAGTTTTTGTTACCCAAACAAATTAAGCTACTCCTATTTCGATCATTTGAACTATTTCCTCCATCAAGGAGACTTAAAGAAACACATTTAAAACAAAAGCATGCATGTTTTGTGCAAGAAACCATTTTGTCAAAAAAGTCGAAAATTTGATTTAGATAACCCCAAATGGATTGCCCAATTTCTCCCAAAAACATAAGAAGACCCTATTTTGGCCAAAAATTGAGTTATTTTTAATTTTACGCGTGGCGTCATCAAAATTTAAAGTATTGGCGCCTATTGTTTTGATGTGAAATTTCTATGCTCTGTCGGCCAAAAATGTACTCGCTGAATAATACCAGAGGCGGACCACCCATGAGCGGAGGTTAAAGGATTGAACTCCTGATGGGGAGCTAATTTTCTATCAATATAATTGAAAGCCATTATAAACTGATAACAAACACGCCACCAGTACTTCTTGATCTTTATCACCCCCCCCCCCCCACTAAGGACTGCGGTGGGAGAGATATTTCAATTGATTCAATTTGCGGCACTTGCATATGTAGTGATTTGGACAAAGTGAATGTGATAGTGCAGTCATTGGTCTGGTAATTAGCGTGTTCTATTTTTTCTCACCATTTGGGCATCACTGCCGTTTTCGTTCACTTCTCGCTTCACCTGTCCACTTAGGGCATCAACGGCAGCAGCAGAGGAGGGGGAGGAGTTGGAATGGTGCTGCTGGCTCTCCTGCAACAGTCGCTGGTGCACCCTGGCCAAGTAGGCTGCGAACGCCAGTCTCGCCTGCGTCACTCTGCAACACACAAAACAATCGACCTCGCTTTATCTCAATTGGCAAACCAATAACCAATTCAAAAGAAAACGGGTGGCAAAAGTTCTTTGAACAGCTTCAATCGTTGTATAAAGTTAAAGGCATGTTTTTATAGTAGGTTATATTATGCTAAACAACATTATAAAAACGCATTTTTCAAATTTCCCGAAGAAAGTCTGCTCCGGAAACCATCTTCCACGCAAATCAACTCACAAAAAAACTAACAGAGCCAACAGACAGTAGGAAAGCGTCAATGAAAACTTCAACGTTGAATTTCCAGGAAACAACATAGCCAACTGACAGCTGGAAAAGAGTAATGAACGCAGGGAAAAAGAAAAAAAAACTGACTGGTTTTTTGAAAAAACTTCAACTTAAGAATTTTTAAGAAAAATATGTGCCTTTAAAGCTCTTTGCATTTCACGAACAATTTATCATTGGTGGTTTTTTGTTAAAGTTAACCCAATTTGAGAAAACTGGACCAATAGGTACAACTTTTATTTCGCTTGGAAATCTGTTAATTAAATTCAATTTTGGAAATAGAAGTCGATCACGTTTTTCGTGACTTTTACACTTTTGATGTTCGGCAAGAGAGTCTTGAGTCATGGCACAAGCTAAATACAATGAAAGCTTTTTAGTTACATAAGTTGATGCACCAACTGCAGTAACCAAGCTGCACATCGCATACACAAGTGCAAACAAGCAATAGAAGCTTTATTTAGCAAAACTCACACAACCTCAATCAGTGCAAAAACCCTTTGCTCATTGTCAATCAATACATATGAACAAATTGCAAAAAAATTTCTAAAAACAAACAAAATCAAATATGCATTGCATTGTAAGAAGTTGCAAACTTGCTGTTGGCAACTTACGTAAAAATATGTCCCTGTTCCAGCAAACACCTCAGCTGTTCCTTTGCTTGCTGAGCACTGGACATTCCAACCGAGCTGCCATTGCTGTCGTCATTGCCTGAGTCCAGACTACCGCTGCAACCGGAGCTGCTGCTGCTGGCCGACTGACTCCGGCTCCTACTGTAGCACCTATCCCTTTGGAACGGAGAACCTGCACTGTCATTTCCCTGAGACCTACCGGAGCCCGAGTTGGAGCGAGACGAGGATGCAGCAGAGTGTGGGGATCCCGATGAGCGACTCCTGCTCCTGGTGTAGTCCGCACTCACATTGTAAACTGCGGCCGACATTGTGTGCATCTGCTGCTGCTGCTTTCTGCTGCGGTGTCCATGTCTCGCCGTTCCTCCTGTAGTATCCGCCCCCATAGGCTCAGTTCCCTTCTCCCTCGTTCGCCTCCCGTGAACGTGGTGGTTGCCTGAGGTCTCTGTCGTCGTTTTGGTGCCTCCCCTTTGCTGCACTAGGTGCTCATCGCCCCCCGTGTCCTGCCCTACACTCTTCGTACTCCTGCTCTTCTCTTTTTCGCTCTTTGACTGGTGATGATGTCTCGCACCATCCTTCTTATTCGTCGTATGTGCCCGGGAGGAGTCGTTGCTTGTCGGTCGCGAATTCGCTCTGTTCTGACCTCCTGCGGCGCCGTTCGACATTTGACTGCGCGATCGGCTCTGTGACTTTTCGTGGTGGTGGTTGTGGTGGTTATTGGAAGCTGCTTTGGCGCCTAGAAAAAAGCGTCATAGCAGGCACACAACATAATATTCAAAACATTAATAGGTCTACTTTCCGCCTTCTCCTCCCCCCGAACTATTTCTCGAACAACTTTGGCTCACAATGTCCCGTCTTAATGCCCATTCTTATTTGGTCTGCAAAACCGTTGTTACAACATGAACTTGATGCTTATGTGCGGGGAGGGGGGGGGGGTGTTGGTTGACGATGAGAGCTTTTACTCCAGGGTGACCACTTCGGCCAAGAAAAAAAGTGACCTGTTGTATTTATTCGTTAAATAGCTATTGCACCAGGCGCGGATCTAGGAATTTCTCGATATGTGGGGGGGATTTTTTTTTGGTCGACCAAATTGATTTTTTCTGATCTCTCCCAAACAACTAAAAGACCCTATTTTGACGAAACTTTTGAAAAGGCCAAAAAAGGCGTTTTTAGGCACTTTTTGGAAAATTTCGACAAAAAAATTTTTGGATTACTCATGAATGCAACTGTCAAATTTGGCAATGCTTGCCGCCGCTCTTTCCCTATCTGTCCATAATATATCTGAAAAAGTTAATTTGAGTGACTTTCGATTAAGTGACAAAAGTGACTAGTCACTTAAAAAGTGCTCAAGTGGTCACTCTGCTTCACATTTATCTTCTCTTTTTGTGGTATGTTGACTCACCAGCGCTGGCGTAATGATGTGTCGAGTTGTGATCTGCATTAGTGGCTGCAGCCGACTGCGATGTCGCAGCAGAGAGAGACAGGGCCACGTTCTCCGAGTGTACTCTTCTGTTGCCGTGTGCTGCCGACACTGCCCTGCTCTCCGCCAAAGTGAGCAATCTGCGCTCGTATTGCAGCAGGCGTGATATGATCTCACAGCTGTATCCATTGCCCCCACCCTCACTCACACCCTACAACACCAAACCGACTCAGACCAAACCCCCCCCCCCCCACGTACTCCCCAATTTCATACAACAAACCTTCGACCTCGCACGGAACATTCATCATTTGACTCTGGGATTCATTTGCAAAGAAAAATCATTTGCAGAAAATTGGGAAATGTCATGAATTCAAAAAAAGCCCTGTGAAATTTTTGAATCTTTTATGACTGGCACTTCTTTTATAAAAAACATACTTGAATTTCAGAAAACTGGATCAATAGATATTCCGCCGAGAAAGTAATTCAACTAGCTCGTATCTTGGTCCATTTCCTTATGGATAAAAAGCGTTAGTTAATTAATCATACACGCTAAAAAGGCACTGAATCCGTTATATGAGTCTCCAACCATGCACACACTAAATTGTGCCCTTCACTTGTTTAAACAACCGAAATCAAGAAACTCCAGCTGATGTGCCAATAGAACAGATTATTCTGACCACGTTACCACTGCAAAAAAAATTATCTTTTTCTTCAACGTTTTATTTTTGAATGGAACGGAGGGGATGATTAGTCAAGTTTGAAATTCTACTAAGAAAACCAAAAACCCAAGTTAAAAACAGTCAGGGATTTTCTGTGGTTAGAGAAATATAACAGAATTGCGTAGTGTTAAATCAGTCATTAACACAGATGACAAATATTCAAGAATGGTTCATTATTTATTCTACTATCTGCTGAGAGGATACGAAATCTGCGTAGAAAATATAACATTACCTCAAAACTGTACATGGGGACAGCCGACCTGAAAAAGAAAGATAAGAAAATAAACCATCTATTGCTGAACAAGTTAAATAATTAGCAACATTAATTTTCTAGGAGGATCAGGTTGACTAGAAAATACAAAACAGAGGCGCTGCTCAGCTTCGCACCCCTTGCGATACAAAATAATATAGAATTAAAACAACAAGACACTCAAAAACTGTCAACGAGACTTCGAACGTTGTAACCGTTGAAGAAAAATTGAGAAAAACAAAAAACAACCAATCAAGTTTTTTTTATATTTAATTTCATTCAAAAGTTCCAATTTGAGCATTCGAAAGTTAAATTTGCGGTCAAAGTCTTAACGATCTCATAAACAATATCGGAATTTTGTAGGAAACAAAATATTAGGTAAATAAGCCGACAGCCACTTAGCTGAACATCAACAAAAATTGTTCGGCAAAATCTTGTTTGAAAAAATGCATTTACTGCCCACATAGTATCCACGAAAATCATATATGTACTGATATCAAGGTGGTATACACAATTCGGACACTTAACCAAAATTAGTCGAAAGCCGATAAATCATCATCAAAAAAGTAATATCGATGTTTTAGATAGAAGTATATATACAACTAGATCTATCGAAATGAATAAAGATATTAATGAAAAAACAAGTCACGACAAAAGCATGCAAATTTAACATCGGAAAAAACTAACCAAGCGGCAATAAAACAAAAAATACCTCAGCGAAAACTTTTCACGCCGAAAATAAAATCAAAAAATATTCTATATAAATAAAGTTCCCCTTTCCCTTAAAAGATTCCCCCTTTCCCTTAAAAGATTCCCCCTTTCCCTTAAAAGATTCCCCCTTTCCCTCAGAACACACACGCACACAAAAACTTTTCACGGTCAGCAAACGCCGCAATAAAGGGTCACTTAGTACGTATAAAATAGGCCGAAACCGATTAAGCCGGAAATAACAAAAGAAAAAAATCAACATATGACTTAGAAAAAAAATAATGAAGTCCCCTCGCCCTCAAAACACAAACAAAAATTTATCGCTCGTAAAAAAACGCCATATGAGGCCATTAAGTCGACATAATATAGGCCGAAACCTATCAAGCCGGAAAAAAAGCAGCTCGAAATTTCAAAAACCCATTAACTCCATTAAAGCTCTTCGAAATTCAAAAACATTAAGAATGGGCATCATTTTGATGGAACTTATTAAATTTGGGAAAACTGGACCACTAGGTAAATATTTTCTTTCGTTGGAAATCAGAAAATCGTGACGTTTGTCTTCCTTTAACAAAAGAAGTGAACTTCAAAAATGTCATAAATCAAGCCGCAAAAAAGTTGAGCGTGGATAAATATTAAGAAATTTTCCTGAAAAAAAAAACAAACAACAACAGTCTTCTATACGTTCATTAAGTCTTATTACCATTCAAACGTTACCAAAAAGTACGTGCAACAAAACTAAGCCTACAAAAATAAGCATACACCTAAATCCGAGATATTAAATTACAGCAGAAAACTTTTAATTCGAAAAAGAACTGAGCCCACCCGGAAGCGAACCCCAAGGCCTTTGGCTTCCCAAGCATCGACGTTAAGTTCATGGCAAATGGGAAAAATCGGTCAACGAAATTGAAATTAAAATTAGTCAAGGTGCTGTGCAGTATCTGTGACCAAAAATTTGAACATAGCCAACAGACAGTTGAAAAAAGGTAAAGAGCAAGGAAATCAAAAAAAGTTGACTGGGGAACTTTGAGCATTTTTCAACTTTCGAACTTCGAAGAAAAAATATATCTCGTTAAGGCTCCGTGAACTTCAAGAACTGTCTAAGATAAGCACTTTATTTCGTAAGTTATCCCAGTTAGAAATTGGAAACAGGTATTTTTTCATTCAGTTGGTAATTCAGAAAATTGAAGTGCATTTTTTGTAACTAGAGGTCATTCACGTTTTTCTTGGTTTAAACAGTTTTGCTGTACAAATGTGGAGTAAAAATAGAAATGAACTGAAGTTGAAAATAATCAAAAGTCAAACAGCGAAAAAAAAACATTACGGCCTACATAAAACACTTCACTACGTTCATCGAATCGTAAAAAGTATAGTGGCCGATATTTATTACCAGCTTGAAAACCGATCATCGGCTATCAAAGCATTGCGCTACGAGTCTCGAGACAATCGAAAGAATAAAAACTCATTTCTCATTTCATAATATCATTTGTTAGTATTTTAAGAAAAAATGTTGATTATCTACTAACTTCGGCCTGTGAGATGAATGGTAACTGGAAGGAGGCCTGGATGGTGCGCCAGATTTCGTACGCCTGAAACATAAATGTGCTCTATATAAACCAAATCGAAGAAACATTTCATTAAATTATTGTTGAAAACTTCACTTATGGTTAAACACTCATGGATACTTATGTTTCCAAGACGCGTCCCTTTCAGACTACGGCAGTCGAAACTTTACAACTAGAATTAAAAAACAAAAAGAGGTTACGCAGAGAGGTGTTTTTTAATCGAATGAAAGCAAAAACAAAAAAAAATTGTTGGGAATGGGTGAATCCCTTGCGCCAGAAAGGCCGAAATATATATGTGTCAATCAGAATTCAAAAAATTTAAGAAACGAACGTGAAATTCAGTCATTTTTGAGCAGTTTCAAAACGTAGATCGACCGAGTTTTCGCGCATTCAAATTAAGGAGGAAATTTTTGAAATGGTCAAAACTTTGCAGTACTTGCGATACACAATAAAGCGCCAAAAATAAAAAGATAATGTGTCTCAAACAAAAAGTGAAAAACTTCAATTAATTTTGTTGATTAAAAAACCACGAATACCTATATAAGAGTAGTTACTACGTTCATTACTCTTAAAAAGGACCTACCCGCTATTTGCTATTGTATAAGATCAAAATGAAAGGCATTGAAAAGCTACATTTTCTAAGCAAACGATTCCAGCTATGAAACTCTGAAATATTTAAAGTTATTTCATAGCGCAAATCGCTTTGCTAAAAACTATTTTTTCCAAGCATTATGGCTGCTGTTTTTGATTGAGTCATTTCAAACTAGAATGAATCTGCAAACGCAGAATTTTGGAGAAAAAGTGGGCAGATATTGTCTAGCTTTGACGTTCAATCGAGTTCAACTTGTTTAGAGACTTTATAAAGGTTGAGTTTAGAAAAATTCTTCGATTAAAAATTGAGCCCTAAAGGATTCTTAAATGTTGTGATCTCAGCCTTCTTAAACGTTGTGCTCAATAGAAAAGTTAAAAGGTTGAGTCCATAGCGCTTTAAGACTTTCATTTAATATATAAATTAAGAACGAACTTTCCGTCATTTTAGCAATCAGGCCAAGCTCGTCTGTTTGAGCTGGACCACCAGCGGATTTTGGGGAAGGATTCGATCCCCTGCCGACCCAAAGGGTCCTTCTTTGTACTATTTTGAGATATCAATTTTTCGCTGACTGACCCTAAAATTTTTCTAAAGGTGCCAAAATATACAAATTTTGAGGGGCGAGCGAGCCAAAAAAACGCAAATTTTTGGTCAAAATTTTCCAAAAAATGCCTAGAAACCAAAAATTTGTCTACGGCGCAGAAAATTTGGTCATCAAAATAGTGTCTTTTTAGTGAGTTGATAGAGCTCAGAAAATCAAATTGGTGGATCTACAAAAAAAAATCGGTGGACCATGGAATCTATAAGAATTTTTCGAGATTTCTCTGAACAACTCCGAGAATCGGCAAAAATGAAATATGATGCATTTAACAGCTATCTAGAATGCGGTGACGAAAACGATGGTGAAACAGTCCCTGAGCCTAACCCACCCGTTATTTGGATACAGCTTGGTGTAGAGCATGAGGTTGTGAGTAGTCCTGTGTTCCATTAATCCCCCATACGTCTCCCAGGAGGTGTGGGTGGGGAACACGCGGATCCAGCGCCCCCTCCTCCCGTACTCTTCCCTCGCCATCCGCAGTATTTTCGCCTCCTCCCCCGTCAGAGGCGTCCCCCCGCTGTTATCAGAAGTGCCTCTGCCCCCACCCCGTCTTCCGCCGGCAAAAGGAGCACCCCCTCCTCTGCCGCCCCTACCACTGTTTGCTGGTCGCTGCTTCTAAAAGCACAAAACATCTCGATTTAAGAATATTCATTCGAAATATTAACCGGAAGTTTTCATTCGTATCTTTCAGCCAACTATTGAAGTGTAATATGCGTGCTGATCATGATCATCTCAATGCTTTTCTTCTAAGAACTGATGCCTAACGTGAGGCGTAAATTCGTAACAGGCGACAATTCGTAACAGGCGAAAATTCGTAACAGTAGATTGAGCGGGTACCACTGATTCACGCGCAGTATTCCTCTCGTGCCGGATGTTAAGCGCAGCGGATTGAGGCGAAGAGGAGCAAACGTATTCTACTTGCCAATGCCTTGTTACAAATTATCGTTTGTTATTAATTGTCGTTTTTTCAAAATTGTCGCCTGTTAGGAATTGTCGCCCTACCGATGCCTTAACAAATGACGCGCAATAAAAATCATTTCAATTAAATTATTACTAACACATCAAATAAAATCGGAACAAATATCATCCCTCGAAAACATGAAATTTGAATAACACAAAATGACTGTGGTAAAACATATATGCAACATATGGATTGATCTACTTACCAACAAGCGGCAATTTTCATTGTAGGGCTGCTGTAGAAACAATACAACAGAGTGAATGAGCGTGAATGAGCCCCATGGATCCCAATTTATTAGTAAATAAGTCCGTTTTGATCACTTGCTTGATATTTCAATATAAGTTAGATTTTAAAAATCTAAATTTTACGCATTTTTTTTCCATTATGTTTGAGAGCGCCTTTGATTCACCAGTGAATTCGCAGACTTTGCATGGTTGAAATGTCTTAAAACCTTATGGAGCAACATTTAGATAAATTAGAACTTCACAAATGACGCAGCTTCTTCAGAACAGCTGCAAAGAGATGATAGTTTAGAAAAAAGATAGAGATTCTTTTGGTGCAGTATAATACCTTTCCCCTCTTAGGAATGGGAGGGGCCTTGTCTCTGTACTTCTCGGAAAAATTGTCGATATAGTCCACTATCTAAATATGACAAAAAAACAATGAGACGATAAGAAAACTCTCAGGCGATGCCGTTTATCTATATTAGCTAAAGCTCACGTAATAACTGTACGGCAAAAACTTCGAGTACAGCTGGAGACGGCTTAGGAAACTCAGGAAGTCCTAGAAAAACTTATACTTTATTTACTTAAAGCTATTCGAATTTTAATATATTTTTTTCTGAATGACACGCTTTCAATACACTAACTCAATGTAAACAAATGAACAAATGGGTCCAAGGACAATTTTTTAATTGGGCTGCAAACCTACTTTCAAAATTAAAATTGCAACTCTTTTTTTTGGCCGTTTTTTGTTTCGTTTTAAGAGAGCATAATTTGCTTCACTTTAGTAAAAGAGCCAGAATTAAACTTTTTGAAAAGAATCCAATATTTCCAGCAAAATACAAATTTGGGCGTCCTCAAAAAAAATACTTCAGAAAAGGTCTAAAAAACACTTCCTAAATAAGCTGAAAAACTCACTTCATTCATAGCTACAAAAATACATAATCACCCAAGCCTGTTATAATACCTCCACAGCACATTAAACTAGGGCAAGTTAATTATGCGAATTAAGTTGATACAAAGTATAACACTTTACCGCGCTACACCATTGATACTTCCTCGAATATAAGGACATAATCGACTAATACTCTCTAAGCCGCAATAAATGAGCTTTAACACAGAGACAAAGCGGACAAAAATCTCAGTGTGCAGGTGTATAAAAACTACTGTCAAAAACTGCGACATATTTCATATTTTTCACACATATTTCATATTTTTCAAACACTACCGAGAACACGACAAAAAGCAACTCTATAAAGTGCATTAAGAAAAAGTAGAAATAAGCCTTAAAAAAATCGGCTACGTCTTGGATTCGAATCTGCGACCTAAAGATAAACAGTCTCACTTACTAACCACTCAGCCACGAACGCTGAATTTACACCAAACACTAGCCAAAAATAAAGCAGAGGACAGATGCTATGCAATTTCCAATGCTACAGATGCTTTGCAATTTCCAAAAAAGTGAACATTGATAATGAAAACTTTTATTTGCGATTTAAGTTTTAAAAAAAATAGAAGGTCTGTAATAATACAGTAAGCTCATTGCTAGTGTAAAAAGTTGTAGCATCTACAACCCAGCATCTACAAACACTTATGATTTAAAAACACCCATTTGACAAATTCAAACGAGGTGGAAAAACGTCAATGAACGAAAAAAAAAACAGGACCCTATGTGAAAAAATTGGATCAATGTATAAATTTAATATTTCGCTGAGAAATCTTAAAATTAAATTCCAGCTTCGAAACTTGAAATCAATCACGTTTTTCTTGACCTTTCCACTTTTTCTGTTCGCTGGTGGAATTTGCTTGCGTTTTAAAAAGGAAATGAATTGAACTTAAAAAGAAATGAAAAGCCAAAATTTGAGTCTCAACAACTTTAAGGACTATTCCTGAAAAAATATCACGGCCTATATAAAAGTCTGAACTATGTACAGCGACTCTGAAAAAAACCACGCTGCCTAAATAAAGTTCTTCACTCCGTTCATTGGCACTTAATTAATTTTCGACACTAGAATTCATTCAAGTTTTTTTTTGCGCCAATTTAACTTTCACTTTTGGAGAGCGCAGCTTGTCCTTTATTAACCAAATGCAATCTGATTTAATTTGAAAAGAAATCTAAAATCAAACCCCACAAAAAAATTGAAGGATTTCCTTAAAAAAATCACGCGACCTCAATAAAAAACGTTGCTTTAAAAGATCAACTTTGAAAGTTAACAACAAAGCACATTTTTTCTTCCATTTGCACTTTGTAATTTGGAAAGAGTAAATCCATAATTCTACTATTAAATTTTGTTGATAACTACAAACTAAGAGGTACAGTCAAATGGAAAGGTAGTTGATAAAAGTAAAATGACCGATGGAAGATGTAGCCAGATGCAACTGACTGAGTGACTGACCTGCTGTCGAACGGCACTGCGTGATTGGAACTCCCTCCTTCCGCCATTAATGCGTCTTGAGACTGGGTCTTGAGCTGTGACACCTGAACAAAGTACAACTCTCGACAGGTAGTTCAAAGCGAATGATAAAACACATCACTTCACTAGGTTTCAATAGAGCAGACAACAAGTGAATACTAGAATGAGATAATGCATACAATAGCCGACATTGGTGAAGTAGCAATCAGCACATATGTGTTCCACCAAAAGCATGCAATAGTTGCTCTAATTAAGTGTTCATTGAGAGAAAACAAGTTTTAAACACAGAGGCGAAGTTGCACTTCGCATACACAAGCAAAAATATGACCGATAACGCCACTGGGAAAACTGAATGAGTAAAACTTTGAGTCTTCAAAATTTCTTAAATAACGCACGCCAATTATGACGCATTAGCAGTACCGGTCAATTTGAAAAAAAAAAAAAAGAAATTTACCAACTAACATGCCTCAAATTATAGAGCGGACGCATTTCAACTAATATACGAAAAAGTTCACTAAAAACATCCGAACCTTCCCAGGTTAGAACCCTCTTATTTTGATGCGGGTCTCCTTCCCTACCTCTACGCTACAGATCCATGATAACTTTAAGCTAAAATACTATTTGTTATATAATAGTCTGTGTTAAAATCCTTAGCATTGGCTGTACTTAATAGCTGGTTATTGATCAAAATGAACACTTTTAGAATGAACAAATTTTGTCGCAGCAATATTTAAGTCGCAACAATATTTGCGATTTAGGTTCGAAAAAAACATAGTTCATACACTATAACACAAGTTTTGCTTGTGTAATAATTTCCAATCATTTTTTATAATTCAAATGATTTGTTAAGCGAATTATCATTTCAATTTAACCCAATTTAACATTCGGCAAAATCACCACTATGTAAGTGACAAATTTGAATGTGCAAATATCGAACTAGTGAACAATTCTACTTTAATCCCTATCTTTTAAAAGAGCTTTCTAATTGACACTCATTCTAACAAGCAGGATCCAGAACTAATTGCATGATTATTGAAGGATGATACACGTAGATACATACCCACAACTGAAAACAGGTCTGATATCATGTTGGCCTTGATCTTCAGATCTATGGGGGCATCACTAAAACACAAATATCACATCATACCTCTCAATACAACCAAGGACTCAGAAGACTGGATCAATAGGTTAAATTTTTGTTGCGCAGGGAAATCTGAAAACTAAATTCCATTTTCGAAATTAGAAGTCGTTCATGTTTTTCGTGACCTTTACACTTCTGCTCTTCGATAGTGCAGACTGCAGTTTGCCTTTGGCTTGATTTTGTCTTAAATAAAATTCACGCAGAAAAAATAAATCCAAGTGAGACAATTAAATGTTAAATTAGTATCGAAATAATCTTAAAAAGCGGTAACAATGCCATAAACTTTTGAGCAGATACCTGCTGAACCGAAGAAATTTATTTCTATTTTAAAATTTTCATAAAAAGGTATCTTCATTAAAAAAAAAACTTTTCATTAAGAACGGAAGGTCACAAAAAACTTGGTCGACTTCTAATTGAAAAAAATATGGCCGTTAAGCTCTTTGGCTTTCAAGAACACTTTACGATAAACACATTATTGAATCTAGCCAACAGGCAGTTGAAAAAGAGTAGAGGAACGCAATTAAACAGAAAAAAAACTGACTTAATTTTAAAAAAAATCTCAACTTTCGAATTTCTAAGAAAAAAATAGATGGACTTAAAGTTCTTTGAATTTCTAGAACACTTGATTGAATCTTTTTTGATAAATTAACTCCATTTGAGAAAACTGGATCAATAGGTAAAACTTGTTTCCCTGGGAAATCTGATAACTAAATTCTTTTTTCGAAAATAGAAATCCATCACGTTTTTCGTGACATTTACCCTTTCGCTGTTCGATAATTTTAACTAAGAAAATGAACTGAAATTTTTTTAAAAAAAGATAATCTAACTTGACTGATAATATTACTGAGCTTTATAAATAAATAGATGGCCTTAAGCTCTTTGAATTTCAAGAAAAATTTATACAGCAATTTACAAATTTTTACAAATTTATACAGCAATTTATACAGGATAGAACTAACCCAATTTGAGAAAACTAGATCATTAATTAAAAAACTTTATTTCGCTTGGAAATCTGAATATTAAATTTCACTTTCAAAACTAGAAGGCGATCACGTTTTTCGTGACTTTTTCACATTTGCTGTTGGATAGTGGACTTTGCCTTCCTTTTAACAAAAGAAATGAAGTAACTTAAAATGAAATCAGAAGTCAAACAGCAAAAAAGTATATTTGAGCTTAATTAAATTCCTGACAAAAATCGGAAAAAAAATCATCACGACCTATATAAGTCTGAACAACTATCATCGACATTTGCCTGAAATAATTTCGAGGGAAAATATAGGCTAACACAACTGTCAGTTGTCCATATGCATCAAAAAAATCATCAGTGGATACTGGGCAGAGAATATTTGGTAAGACGATTGTTGATCCGGACAAAATTGAGCTACAAAACATTTTGAGCCTTAAAAACTTTCGCTCACTCCGAAAAGACCAAAAAAATTTAAAATTTTGATCCTTCATACGACGAATCATGAGGCAACTAAACAGATATAACATCAGCCGAAACTATTTTAAATGAGCACTAAAATTTGCGACGTAGGTTGGAAAAAGGAACTAGTATTAAATCACAAGCGTTTATCCCAGTTTTTGCATGCAGCCAAAAATATTTACAAATAACTTAAAAGTGATTTCGGACGGATATACAAATTTCGAATCGATTGTTGTATTTGCATTTAGTTCTACGTCTTTCTAACTTTTCAAGTATACTGTAATCATGTGTTTTTGACAATTATTTACCGATCAATAAAGAAAATATCTATACTAATGTTCATCAACACCTTATCTGAATCGTTCAATCTATTCAGCACATCGAGTGAAGTAAAAATTTGCCTGAAACCTAATTGACGTTCTGAAAAGATTCCAAGCACTTCTAGTTATTTATTTAATTTCAAACACTTCGAGGTATTGATGTCAATAACTACTCAATTTGAGTTTCTTCTGAGTCTATAACTTAGAGGGACCACACTCACCAGGCGAGAGAGGGGGATAGATTAACTTCCATCAGCCAGGGCTTCATGTTCTCATCCACCAGCACATCGAATCCATACAGCTCTAAATATCAATATGTTCCAGTCATGAACAACACGACTCAAACACAAGAGCCAATAAAAGCATGTCGTAAATAAGCATCAAAGGAAAAAATTTTAGGGTGGTGACAACGTTAGTTCCCGGGTAGGGAATCATAAGTTGATTATATATCGTCCAGGGCAGGTATAGCAAAACGGATGACCCCCACCCCAGGAAGTCAGACTTGTCAGCACCTTATATTTTTTCCTTCGATATTTATTTACGAAATTTATGTGAGACTGACCATAGCAGTTGCCTCTGTGGGGCTGGAACATGTTGGAGGCTGAGGCAATGGCCATTTCGCCCGCCAGAAACGTCTTCACCACCAGGTCCTCGATCCGCATCATCAGAGCTACAGCAGCACAAAAACATAACAATACTACTAAATCATACTGAAAGAGAAGAGCATAGTCAATAAACAGGTGCGAAAGTGGAAATTGAAAAAAATTCCTCGGAACATCCGACTTTTCGAATATTGGAGAATTTAAAAGAAAAAAATGACTTTTTCAAAAACTTTATGAAATTTTCGAAGAAAAATTATCTCATGATGCAGCTCTTTAAAATATGCTCATTATTTTCGGAAATTCTTGAAGGTGAAATTAGTCCAACTAGATAAACGGAAGCGAAGCAAAAACAGATCAACAAAAATTGGTTACTACTTTCGAAGTTCTACTTTAATGTTGTTCTCTTTAACATTGTCTCCCAAGGAAGCTCTAAAAGCATGGCGTCTAAAGCATATTTCGGCTTTCACTAAAAACGTTTAACAAAGGAAAAAAAGGAAATAGACTGCTTCTACTCACTGGCTGTGTCGTGTCCAATAGACTTGAGATATCTCAGCATGGCACTCATACTCCACTTGTTCCCGAAGTCCTCCAGCTCAGGGTCCGCATTTCTTAAACATCACACACATCTTCACGTCATACACTTCAGTCAAACAATCATTTTCTTATCGTTGGAAACGTTTTTTCCACACAAACCACGCAGCGATTCAAATAGCTAAGTATACTTGAAATTACTAATCACAAATCCAGTGTTCTATCATAGGTTAGTTCCAGTCTGAAAAACCTTTAAACTCAGTGACCCAGATCAGCATAGTTAAAGTTATTGAAATATGAGGATCCCTTTGCCCGAAAACTATAATTAACTTCATTTTAACACTTAATAATGAATTGACGAATTAATAAATCTGGCGAACTACACCTTTCTTGATTGTGACCAGTTTATGAAGATATCTTTCTGCGAAAACCGTTGAACTTACTTAACAAAATCGGGATTGCGTTTATTCACACTGTAGTTGGTGAGGTGCATGAACTGATTTTTAACGCTCTTGGTGGACTTGTCGAACTTCTGGGACGCAAACCTGCAAAAAAAGAAGTGTTTTCTTAAAAAAAGATGTCTGGTTGCTGTTTAAGAGGCACATAATGACAAGAAAAGTTTTAATTGTTCTCTTTGAGTAATTTGTCAACACATCATTCTAAATTGGCCTGAACAGCAAAATTTGAGAACATTTTTTTTCTCGCCAGCCAGAACTTTCCCTAAATTTTTTGAGTACAATTCTAATCGGGCTTGAAAGAGCTTTACTACAATAGATTATTCAATCCAATTCCACATTTATTTGTTTTAACTGGAATTGCATTTAAAAACATAGCAAACAGAGGGTTGGAAGTGTAAAAGTACAAACACCGAAAAAAAATGATTTAATATTTTTCGAAAAAAATATAGCAGGTTAAGACTCCTTGAATCTCAAGAAAAAGTTAGGATTGAAAGTTTTTTGATAAAACTATCCCAAGTTACGAAAACTGGACCAATGGGTAAATTATATAATTCGCTAAAAAAAAATTAATTAAAATCCACTTTGAAAAACAGAAATTGATCACGTTTTTTGCGCCATTTTAACATTCGTAATTTGCAAGCGCAATTTTCCTAATTTTTATCATATGGATTTGGTATGAATGCAAATTTGTAGTTAATAAAGCATTTAAGACTTTTTCCCGAGAAAAAACCAACAAAAAAAATCCAGAACTATATAGAAAATCACTTCGTTCTTTTACAATTAATTATAACCTACAATTTGTAAAATGTCAGCGAATGCATTAAGAACTTAAAACGAACGGCTAATTTATTGAAAAACCTTTCCAAATTACAAAAAAAGTTGGACTCTTCAAACTTCAATAACAATGTAGTATGCTTCACACTTTTTTGGTAAAATTAACCCTACTTGAAAAAACTGGATATAAAGAATCTTTGTATTCCATTGGGAAACCTAAAACATAGCCAAAGGACAGTTGGAAAAAATGTATGAACGCAAGGAAACAAAAAAACTGACTTGTTTTTTGAAAATTTCAACTTGCCTTCCTTTTAAGCCTTCCTTTTGAAGTGGATTTTGCCTTCCAATAAAACGAAGTGGAATAAAACGAAGTGAACTTAGGAAAAAATCGAAACTCACCGCGAAAAATTTACATTGAGGAAGAAAAATATATAGACTTTTACAAAAGAATGCTCACTACGTTCATGAATCTTCAAAAAATCCAGTTTCGAAAGACTAAAAGTCATTTCTTTCGAAACTAAAACATTTACAATTATGCTGTTTGATAGCAGAACTTATTTTCTTTTTAGCAAATGAATTTGAATTGTTGAACTTACACAGAAATCGAACATCAAACCACAAAAATCAAATTTGGCGTAAATAAATTTCAATACTTTTTCCTAAAGAAAAAATCAACGACCTATTTCAGTGTCTTCACTACGTAAATTGACACAACGCAAAAACGGAAACTTTAGTTCCTATGCACCTTTAAGGGCCGGAGCAGAAACGCACGACTTAAAAAAATTAAAGTTCACATCAATCATAAACACCATCAAAAGTTTAATTACGAAACATCATGACGCTTCGTATACTTGGCTAAAGACCAGATGTAATTTATCCGGACAACTTTGAAAAAACTGCCATAAAAATGGGACCAGAATCTTTGCCTGATAACTGGGTTGCTTTTTTGAAAATTAGATATGCACAAAAACTACAAGATCAATTTTCAACAGATTATACGGTCGAATAAAAGATAAATCAAGCTAATGCTTAAACTTGGTCGTGTGAAAGTACTGCCCGTTTCCAAATTCGTCAATAAATTCATTTAAATCGGGGTAAGACCGGGAAAAACTGATGGCAAATATTTCAACATGAATAACTGATAATCTACATGATCAAAAATTTCAACAAACAACAGTTATATAAAAAAAAATAATTGAAATGATGCAGCACATATGAATGATTTCAAATATCTATCTTCATGTATACTGTTGTTCAATTGCTTTTCGAAAAATATTGAGCTACTGAAGAAAAAACAGATCTCTTTGCTCTTTTACATATAAGCATAAGAAACACCTGAGCATAAATACTCCGTTACTTTCTTCGATGGACGGAACAAACTGAAGAAAAGAAAGATCTCTGTGCTCTTTTACATATAAGCATGAGAAACATCAAAGCATAAATATTCCGTTACTTTCTTCGATGGACGGAACATTACGAAATTTTGCAAGTATTTGTCGTAATATTAGTGGAATAAAAAGCTCCGCTGGCCTCGCATGTGTAATTACACAAAAGACGTAACGGAGCGTCTCAACACTTGCGATACAATAAAAAAAATTGCATTAGAAAATATTGAAAAAAGAAAGAAGTCTTTTCAAAAAATAAGCCGCAAAAATCACTTTGAAAAAGTAGAAAAAATTATACAAAATGTCATAACTTTGTCTCAGATGAGGTTCATAAACAGCCTTAATAAGCACTGAGAATCAATGATCGAGCGGCAAGTCTGGCGAAAAAGTTGGGTCGACCCCCATTAAGCCAAAAACGAAGCTATAGACATAAAAAAAATTATTCAAGCTTTATAAATTTTACGACCCCAACCCTACTGAACCAGGCAAACACATTAAAAACAATTCGCCCGTCGAATAGGTTTGCCAGCCATTTAAATATTAAAAGAGCAATGGAACAGCTATTACGAAGAGGAATTAAAGCCGACAATCCCTAGCAGACAAAAGTTCAGCCGAAAAAAAAATGTTTTCATAAAAACTTTTTTTAAAATCTTTCAAGTCCCCCCGAGACTAGAACGAGCAACACTTGCACTCGTAATTGCAATAAAAATTGGTAACAACACAAAAAAAATAGTGACGAGGCATCTAAGCCGACAATCTTTGAGCAGACACCAACTGATCCGAAAAAAAAAAGATTTTAAGGATTTTTTTAAAATAATGCCATGAAAACTACACAACATTTACAACTACAATTTAAACTGCTTGCAGAACAAACAAAATTCTTTATGTGTCATGTTAGCCGACAAAACTTGAGCGGACAAACGGAAAACCGATATATAATTTTTCTCGGACTTTTTTTCATTTTCATTGATACTGAAACAAGCCAAGTCCAGCCGGGACTCGAACCCCGTCGAGGACTCGAAGGGAGAAAAGAGGAGACTGGAAGCCTGGTCAGTGTAAAAAATCACGCTTTGGAAAAGAGCCACTTGAAAAGCTTACCAGGTAAAAAAATACATTTGGAAAAAAAGGAAAATCTGCCGACAAAAATTAGGACAAAAACCAAATATCCGAAAAAAAAATATATTAAAAAGACTATCTACCAAAATTATTTACCCCATATGAAGTTAGAAACATTTTTAAAAAAATTAAGCATGTCGGCCTTGGAGCATGTCAGATTAAGCTTGTCGGCAGAAAGTGTAAGAAAAGTTGTTGATGGGAAAAAGTCCAGTTACCGATTTCAAGACATTTGCTCTCGCAAGTGAAATAAGTAAAAATGCACTTGCTGAATTTACACATAGAGGCGAGTCAGATCTTCGCGCCACTTGCCAAACGACAAAAAATGGCACGGCAGCTAACCCAAAAAAGGACGCAAGCTGAATCGAAAAAAATATATATTTATATTTATAAATTTTTGAAAAATAAATTTTTTAACGTTTGTCTGGAATGCGGGTAAATTTAATGAAAAATACAACTACCAGTGTTAAATAAGCATTAAGAACAAAAATCAAAAAGCGGACAATGAGAAGACAAAATTTGGGTAGATGACTCTTGAGCCGAAAAAAAAATCAAAATTGAGCTATAGAAAGAATATTCTTAAGTCTCTCCATCCTACCCTTCCGTACGCTCAAGAGAAATTTGAAAAAATTGGTGCTAAATACAACGAATTAACAAGCAACTAAACAGATATGTATCAGCTGAAACCATTGAAGCAAAAAAAAATTAAAAACAAGAGTTGAAAAAACCAACAATAAAATTTCGAACGAAACGGCCATTTTTTAAAAGTCAGACATGCTCAAAAAAAACTGTTGACAGGCATTCTGTTCTGTTGCTATTAGCTACCTTTGGCTGTGGCTAACAGCCGAGCTAACTGATTCAACTGATTTTGTTAAACTAGTTGTTAACTAGAAAAAAATCTATATTCCAGTTTGATCACAGGTCCCAAGCGTAAACACAGGTCGAATAGTGGGTCAGCAGGTCCATGGTGCGAAGTAAGTTGTGACTTTAGCTGCTTACCTTGCGAGACCTTCTTCATATAGATAGACAATGAGGGGATCGTATGAAGTAACTAGCACGTATATCCGAATGTCAAACTTGAAGTCTAAAACAGGCAAGCGTCACATTTGAGACACATGGTATCGTGAGAAGGGGACCCCGACTTTTTTTCGAACATCGGCGCTTTTTCATAACCCCCCTCCTCCCACAAACAATTAACGAAAAGAAAGTCCCACCATAAAAGGATTTTGTCTTCACACAACCTCTGCCCAGCATTATTATCACAAGCAGAATCGCAAGCTAGTCGCCGACAAAAAAAATAGACGAAGTGGAATTGTTTGTAAATAGAATTCCTTATCGCTCTTCAAACGAAGCACTCTATCAGGGGACTCAGTCGATATAAGATTCGTTGAAAACCTTTTGGCAAAAAAAAAACATTTTAAGCGAAAAAAAAGGGAAATAAATCGCAAGCTTGATTATGACAGGGCTGTAAAGAGGCGAAACATCCATCCACCTTTCACATACTCATATTTACCATCGATAAGAAGTGGGTTGTTGATGTAGCGAGATACAATGAGTGTTTCGTCCATCGGCACTTGACTTGGCTAAAAAAATGAATTTGAGAAATCAACACAGAAAATCTTCGTGGTTCTTTTCAGTTCTTCGGTATCATTGGTTCAATAGTTTACTGCGGTCCACACGTGAAATCCAGCGCTACTCACATGATTAATGAGGAAGATACCGCGTCCTCTTGAAGACGCCACTGGTTTCACTATCCAAACTCCTTTTTCTTTGGCGAAAGTACCTGCATACAAACCAGCCAACATAACCAACAGACTATCGCAGCTTATGAAGCCAGGTATCGTAGTGTCCTTCCAAGCATCAAGCTAGGGCTATAGCACTACTAAACGCGCAATTTTTGTATTTCCTAATCAAAGTCAACAGACTAATTTTTGAATATTCTCAACTTTCGCAATTCAGAAAATATACATATCACGTCAAAGCTCTTGGAGTTTCAAAATTACTTTCTGTTGGAACAGTTTTCACACAGAAGTGAAACCGAGCTTTACAACACTTGGGATAGACGGCGTTTAATGAAAACAATTATCGAGCAGAAACTGAGCCGGCAAAAATTGGATCAACTCCCATATAACCGAAAAAAAAACTATTGTCATGGAAAGTTTGGAACACAAAGTGGAGTTTCGTATCACTTGCGCTACAAAATTCAATGACTACAATTACCAGCAAATGAAAAAAAAAACAAATCAAACAAAAAAAAACTTCAAAAAAGTTATAAAAATTACAAAAAAAGGACAAAAAACATCTGAAAAAATAGCTACACCATGAGAAACTTAAAAAAGAGTTTTCAAAATGAAATGCTTAAAAGAAACCGGACCATTCTGCGGGACCTAAACCGACAAAGTTAGCAGATACGAAAGTCTAGAATATTCGAAAACTTTCAGTTTCGACAAAAAGCAGGTCCCGACTGAAATCGAATTTCTGCGATTTGTCAGGCATTGGTGTTACCACTACAATAAATCCACAGAACTTTCCTTGAATTTATAAAAACAACTTACATAATTTTTAATGAACAGAATGAAAAAAAAATCAAAAAATTGCAAAAAAAAGGCAACTTCTTGGAACTTAATTGCTTACCCAAAACCGGAATACACTGAAAATTTTTCATTCGAGTTTTAAAAAAACCTAAGCTTTTGGCAAATTTTACGCTGCGGTAACTAAACTGACAAAAAAAACAGACAAATAGAAGTCCGTCAAATAATTTTTGACGCGCGGACAATTTTCTGCTTACTAAAAAAAACAAGTCCTTGCCAGATTCGAACCAATGACCTTTGTCTTCATAATCAGGAGCATTACCTCTTCGCCATATGCGCGAGTTTACATCTGACTTTTGATTTCATATGAAACAAAGGTAAAATGATTCAAGTGATTCTGTTAAACTAGTAATTAACCCGAAAAAATGTCTAAATAGAATTTATGGTTACGCTTGCGATTAGCAAACGTTGTCAAACCGGAATATAGACATTTTTTCGGGTTAACTACTAGTTTAACAGAATCACTTGAATCATTTTACCTTTGTTTCATATGAAATCAAAAGTCAGATGTAAACTCGCGCATATGGCGAAGAGGTAATGCTCCTGATTATGAAGACAAAGGTCATTGGTTCGAATCTGGCAAGGACTTGTTTTTTTTTAGTAAGCAGAAAATTGTCCGCGCGTCAAAAATTATTTGACGGACTTCTATTTGTCTGTTTTTTTTGCTATTATAATTTGTAATTTTATTACCCTTGACTTCGTATATTTTCTTTTTTTTTGCCTGAAATTTTTACTTAGGATAGCGCACAAACTGCTAAAACTCTTTAAATAGAATTTATGGTTACGCTTGCGATTAGCAAACGTTGTCAAACCGGAATATAAAGAGTTTTAGCAGTTTGTGCGCTATCCTAAGTAAAAATTTCAGGCAAAAAAAAGAAAATATACGAAGTCAAGGGTAATAAAATTACAAATTATAATAGCAAATCAAAACACTAAAAACAACTGACACAAAAATTGCGTACAGCAAAAAAAAAACTATGAAATGGCAAGTAAGCCGACAAACATAAGCAAAGAATTGAAAAGCCGAAAGTTTTTTTTTGGAACAGAATATTTCACGTTAAAAACAGCTCCAGCTGCAATTCAAACAAAATTTTTGCTATCCCAAGCGTATTCGTTACCTCCAGACTTAGTGTGCCTGGGACGCTGAGAAATTTGAATTAATTATGAGCCAAGTGATTCTGTTAAACAAGTTCTTAACCCAAAAAAAGTCTATCTTTCGATTTCATTACGCCTGCTAATCGCAACCGTAAAAAAATCCAATTTGAGAAAACTCGATTATTTTTTTGTAATATGCAGAACAACCTTTAAAAATCCACTTTCGAAATTAAAGACATTAAAGATTTTTTGCGCCACAAACCCCCGAAAAAATTGGAAACAAAACATAGCATATCTCAGCGTCCTCACTACATTTAGTGACACTTAATTATTTCGAATCATCACTTAATACTCAGATGATAATTTAAGGAGTTATGTTACAAACAGAATTGAGTTTAAAACGCGGTAAATTCTTGTCATAACAAAGTCGGGGCGAATGAACACTTACTAAAACAAGCGTCTGCTTCGTGTTAATAGACAAAAATTACTATCAGAACGGGAATTTTTCTGCTTTGATATGTTAGGATCAGAAAAAGAAAGCGATGCAAAAAAAAACATTTCAACAAAAACTGACTGGAACTTTCCAAATTTCTTTACAAAATTGTGCTCTTTAACGTTGTATGCTATTTAAACTCCGCTAAGAACGGCATTCATAGCACATTTTGTCTTTCACTTAGAATTTACACAGAGGTGAAGCTGCACTTCCCATACACAAGCAAAAAAATGATCGATAACGTTACTGGGAAAACTGAATGAGTAAAATTTTGAGTCTAAAAAATTTCTCAAGTAACGCTCGCCAATTATGACGCATTAGCATTACCAGTCAACTTAAAAAAAATAAATTTACGAACTAACATGCCTCAATTTATAGAGCAGTCTATGGAGCAGTAATAACAGGAAAAAATTAAATGTAATATAAATAAAACGAATTTTTTTTATGAGATTTTTTTGTGAAAATTATCCCCCCACACGCCATATTAAGTAAAAAGTGATAAATTTCGCTCCTAGTAACAAATTAATTATGGCAAACAAGCTTCCTTCAACAATTTAGAAAGATTTTTATGACGGATTAAATCTCCGCTTACGCGTTAATAGTGCAAAAATATCGCGCGTTAGTTATCCCAAATTGGCCAAAATGGAAATTTTTAAACCCCCATAACTTTACAAAAAAAAGATCACAGGTGAAATATCTTTCCAAATTTAAGCTCAGGACAACAATACTTTCTGAATGATACAAAAAATTCTCGTCAAAAATTGCGAGTTAAAAAGTCGAAATTTGTCGGAAAAAACCACTCCGAGCACAAATATTCCGCTACTTTCGTTACGAAATTCGGAACAATAATAGTCTGTGTTAATATCCTTAGCATTGGCTGTACTTAATAGCTGGTTATTGATCAAAATGAACGCATTTTATCGCAACAATATTTGCGTCGCAACAATATTTGCGACTTAGGTTGGGGAAAAAAAGATAGTTCATACTATAACACAAGCATTGCTAGTGTAAAAATGAAAAAAAGAACCGAAAAAATCAACACTGCCTCGATCAGTGTCTTCAGCACGACTATTGACAATTAATAAACAGCACATCATTTCTTACAGATTTATTTATTGGGAAAAGTCTAGTTCTCAATCACCAGACAGTTCAGTTCGCAAGTGTAACCAATAATTAAGTACTGACTCTGGAAGTCTCCGAACTCGATGGGGGTGATGAAAGTGAGGGGGATGAAGTCGAAGTGTTTGAAGCCCCGCAGGTGCTGCATCCTCTGCACATTCTTACACAGTCTGTCTTTGCGCGTCAACTCGTAAGACCTGGAAAGAAAAACCATCTCTCACCACAAAAAAAAACAACATGGAAGGACAGTAGGAAAAACGCGGCACGATTAAATCCTTCACAATTAAAACCAAGCCCGGCCCACCACGAACCACAATTACTCGAAAGATATTTGAGCGCTTAAATTCCCTTTCCATTTGAAAATTACGAATGCAGTAATCTTGAAACGAAATCAAAAGTCAAACTGCCCGAAAAACTGAGCGTGAACAAAAACAGTCCTTAAATTGTGAACAAAAACAGTCCTTAAATTGTGAAAATTCTCTTCCTTCATTCAATCTTTATAAAAAAACCGCTTTTTCAGAAAAATCATATTCTGGCCAGGTGACGACTGGAACAAAGCCATGAATGCTCATCGATTGCAACTTCAAGTTGTTCCGAAAAATTCTTGATATGAACCTTTTTCAAAATTCTACCGACCTCGAGAAACTTCTAGACTCAAAACTGGGTTTGAATTCTAATGGATGCTATTTGAGTCTAGAGAATTCTCTAGCTAACTAAACTGACCTTGGAAAATGATTGACCTTCTGGAACTCGGAGAAGCCTCTCAGTACGTAAGGTTTGATGTGTGAGCCGGTCCACATAACGTTGAAGTCGAGGCTATTTGGGTGGACTTCGTGGAAGCCATGCGACACCAGAACAGACCTCACAATCTTACACTCGGTCCTCACTATCTTGAAGGCCAGGCGGTACTTCTCACCCACACACTTGGCCGAGCTCTCTTTCTCCAGAATGGCGTCTGCCCGGAACAGCACCACCGGCAGGTTCTTTCGCGGACCCGTCCACTGCACCATGTAATCGCTGAAACCACACAGCACCACATAAAGAAGACAGAGTAATTTTGCATTTACAGATAAATACAACAAAAATGTGAAGATGAATTGATCAAACTATTCCCCCCCCCCCCCCAAGCAAAAACGGCAAAACAAAACAAAACGTGAAATCAATCCGTGTGGTTACGTAAAAAAATTGATTTTACACACTTTTCCCCGAGCCCGATTGTTTGTGTAGGCATTATTCTAACATTGTATCTAAAACCAAGAATTGACGCATACAGAACTTTAATAAGCCTTTTAAGAAAACAAATTTTCTTCAATTAAGACAACAAACAAGCCCGCTTAATGTGTCATCAATTTGGGTCAGTTTCTTTCACTCTGGTCTGAAACTACTTTTCCGGTTTTGATATTTAGAATTTCAGTGGTACACATTCGCTGCAGAATGGGACACATGAATTTATACACAGAGGCGAAGCTGAGCTTCGCATCACTTGCGATACAACAATTATGGGATGAAAGCACCATGACACTCAAAAATTAGCAAACTGAACTTCCAACGATGTAACGGTGCAGAGCAAGAGTCCCGAAATTTAAAATCTTGTTCAACAGTGCCAAAAATTATTTTGAATACAAAAGTTCCCTAAGCGCGGCGTTCTGAATTTTTCTGAACAAACAAATAACTCAGCAAAACTGTCAAACGTATTTAAGCAAAATGGCAAACAATTCAAAAACAACGCAATATTTCCAAATATCATCACTTTTCGGTTCTCTTGAACACCTTATCCGTTCTTTACTGTTATACTTCGGCACTGATGATCGCCCCCGATGTTATACTTGAAGAAGGAAGTGGAAAACCGGAAATAGATAAAACCGTTTTTTTTCTTTTCGTAATTAAATTTATTTACGTTTCTCAAAGGTTCTAGTGGGGTTCAATTTTGGCATTCAAAAACTGGTGCCAGAGTCTTATCAATGTCAAAAACACTACCGGACATTTTATGGAAAAATTGGTGCATAGGCCAACAGCATTAAAGCCGACAGCCAATAAGATGAAACTTCCGCCAAAAAAACATATTGCAAAAAAATGCATAAAACGCCCACAAAGATCCACGGTAGCTCTATAAGAAGCGTATTCAAAGTGGACTACAGAATTTAAGAACTAAACCAACAGAGCTTAAGCCTACAATCATGAAGCCAAAAAATCATCAGGAGAAAATAAATATCGAAGTACGACAATTAGACAATAAATGGTTGAGTTCTAAATACAGCATGTACAAGTAGTAAGTGGTAACCAATGGTTAAATGGGAATTTTCATGAAACTGAGCATGTCAGCAGCATGGAAGCATCATACAAGCTTCAACTGGTTTTGTTAAACTAGTTGTTAATAAAAAAAACTATATTTTGATTTGATAACGCTTGCTAATCGCAAGCGTATTATTTGAAACTAGGTTCAAGCGGTTATAAAACGCCCCAAATTATCAATAACCTATAGAGCTAGCGGAACGAGGAGGGGAGAGATCGCTCCATTGGTAAGAAAAAATCAATTTCATTTATAACACAGAGGCAAAGCGGAGCCTCGCAGCACTTACGATACAAAATTATGTTCCAGATTTACAGCGGCATACTTCTTGTTTCAGACACTGCGCATATTTAAAAATTACAATTATTCGATTAAATGGTCCCAGCCGTTCTCTAACCCTACTGATTCATACAAGCACAGTTGACAAACTCAAACAAGGCACAAGAAACGTATTTAAAGTTTTATTTCGGAAAGGCTAATAAAAATCTTAAATAAAAAATGTTCAAAATAATTTTCAAAATAAAAAAAACAATTATGATAAAGCAAAAAATTCATATACACAGAGGGAACGCTGAGCTTCGCACCACTTGCGATACAAAACAAGAAAGCCGCTATATCGAAGGTGGTAACAAAGCCGAAAATACCCTGGCAGGAACACTTTCGGCTTATTTAAAGAATATTGAGTCCACACACTAAAAAAAACTTTATCCGCACGTCATATGAAACATAAGAAGGCTAAGCAGATATGATAGAGGCCGTAGCCTATCCAGCCGGAAGAAAAAGAAAAATAAAGAAGGCCGAAAAAATTGAGACTTATCAAAAGTGATCAAGTCTCCCTCACCTTCAAAACACACACACACACAAACTTTTTTCGCTCGTAGAGCGACGCAAAACGAGGCCATTAAGCCGATATACTTTTTGCCGGAACCTATAAAGTCGAAAAGAGGAAAAGAAAAAGCAAAACAAATGAATTTCGAATAGGTCAAGCACAAAACATATCGACAGAAGTTAATTGTTACTACCATATTAATCGAGGATGCACCCACAAATTAAAAACGAACTAAAGAGCAAAACAAAGATTTTTTGAAAATAAAAATTCAAAAAACTAGCGTGTAACGCACCTCCGGTGCTTCAAACAAATAAATGAACATAACTGCTGCTTGTACATAAAATCTTATTCAAAAAACAGCGATATGAAGGCAACCGTAAAAAGCAAAAGGCGCTGAGCAGTCATAATTGGAGTATTACTTGGGAGAATACTGATGACAACACCCCGCCATAGTGCTAAGTATTTCGAACTTGATAATTTAATTAGATCTCAAGTTGTAAGTAAAAATTTTTGAAAATGCATCAAAAACTGCAAATCTCAACTACTAAGATTATTTGAGCAATCAAATTTGTATGCAAGATCTGCAACCTCTGAGAGTACCCAGAGAACACCGCACTGTATGGTTGGGAATTACAACCTCTGAAACGTTTTTTTTTATTTAACTCGTTTTTTGAAAAGTACTCAAAAAACCATCGTATATCGAAATTCAAAAGCACTTGAGCAGTCAAATTTTGAGAAAAGATTTGCAACCCCTGAGAGAGAGTACGTCGACAGCACCTAGCTATAGTAATTACAATTTCAAACTTAGTGAAATTTATCAAATCTAAATTTTTTGAGAATTTCTGAAAAAATAATAGAAATTTCATATCTCAGATCATAAAAAATACAGCACCTTACACTATTGAGTTGAAAATTTCAACTTTTGTGAAGTTTTTTATACCCAATTTAATTTAAATTTTTTTAAAATCTTAAAAAACGTAATATCTCGAAAACCGAAACGATTTGAGCAGTCAAATTAGGAGTCGCAATTTACAACGCTTGAAAGTACCCTGATACCAAATCACACCATAGAAATGAAAATTCAATCTTTTTTCAAGTTTTTATAAACAAGTTTTTGTGAAAATTTTAGAAAAAAAAAACATTAAAAAAAAACGGCGTATCTCGTAAAATAAAAGGATTTGAGCAGTCAAAGTTTGAGGCAAGATTTGCAACCCCTGAGAGTGACTTGACAGCATTCAACTACAGGGTTGAAAAATTCAAATTTGTGGAACTTTTCAAAGTTGGCGACTAAAAACACCGAATTCAAGCTGGAAAATCGAAAAATTTCTAAAGCATTGCAAAATACGATATAGCTTATCGGCGCAAAAAAATTTTCGTTAAAAATGCAAAAAATATTCGTTCAAAAAAATTAAACATGGCAAGAAAGGGAAGCCCGCATTTAAAAATATAAGTGATGCTTAACGATTTTTCATGTTTTTAATGACAACGAAAATTTTTTTTAAAAAAACACGAGGAAAATCAGCTTGCTATAAAATTCTTTATTTGACCATTCTGTGAGGTTATGTATGGGGAAAAAGTCTAGAACCCAAGGCAATACCCTTGCTAATCGCAAGGGTAAAAAAACATTAATTCATAGAGTCCAACAAAAAAACTTTCATTCGGAAAGTTTTCCGTTTAAAAAAAAAAAACAGGCCAGCTGTTTCGGCAAAATAACACCTCTTCGAGCGAAAAATGTTGGATAACACCTTGCTAGCTATAAACTAATTTAATAGTACTATCAGTAACCTGAGTTCTGTGATTTCCATAAGTGTCCGAAAGGCCACAATTCTTTAATAGACGCTACTATGCTTCTACAATAGCTACGACAAAAAAATGACTTTAAAACGATAAAGAAAAACTGGTCACCAACGTGTCACTGATGTAATCTTCACCCTCGCCATTGTAAATTTCTGGATCATCTTCGTGCTCGTGAGCAACCTGGCTTATCATACTTTTCACGGGATAGATATGAGACAGATCATCGTCGTCTGAAGGCGATGAACGTCTTCGATGGTGGTCATAGGTTGGCGAGGTCGATCGTTCTCTTCTTTTTTCTCTGTGGTGCGGCTTTGATTTCTCTTGGTCGGCAGATTTCATATAATTTGTTTCTGACCTCATGCAGTTCTGAAATTCTTCCGGTAAATGATGCATAAGAAAGGTGTCCATCAAATTAAAATATGTTCAACTTTGTATTCGGTGAAAGTTTTAATTTATTTCTTTTTCCACGAAAGATCAAGTACCACAAATAATCGAAATGGGTCGAGTAATGTATCATATCAGAGCCCTTTCAGTCGTGATTCGAACGACATTCAAAAAGTTTTCCAGTGTGATTTTCGAGTTGCAGCCCTATAATTAGCGAGTAAAGCGATGGAGTATCGTAAGTTAATTATAAATATGGGCCATTTAGGCTAAAAAAATTGACTTTACTTAACAGAAAACCAGTTTTGGAAGATTCATTTAGGGCTTTCTCGGCCACAAAAATTTTCATATAATCAGTGCAACAATTAGGAAAAACTTCAGAAATTATTAAAAAAATTTTTTCAGTTTTTTGTTGATTTACTTTTTGAAGACAATTCTATTGATTATGCCGATACACTAGTGGAAAAAATTAAGCGCAAATTCAGGTTTTTCTCTCTAAAATGCCTGTTTTCATGTCCTTTTTTTGACACCATTTTTTTCGATTTCCAGGAAAATTTTAGCATAGGCCAAGAGAAAATCATCAGAGCTACCATCTACGTTACTATCAATATTTGGTTTCATAGACTTATCAATGTAAGCCGGATCTGAAAATGCCAGTCTTCCTCATCTGCACTACATTTTCAATCCGCGTGAAATAGTAAGTAACAGCCAATTTTAGTAAAGTTTTGTTTTTGCTCACTTCCTCTAATAGGTATGGTCCTCATTTTTTTATTTCCTTGTTTTAATTTTTTAATCATGTAACTTTATCTGGTGAATTTACCATCTTCACAAAAAAATTTTAGTAAAGTTTTCACTGATATTTCAAACTTAACACTGACAATGTTTCACGTCGCAAGAACAATTTTTATACTCCGCTTATTCGAGAAAGTGTTCACTACGATGCTAAACTTGGCATTTTCAGACCCGGTTTACATTGGTAAGTCTATGAAACCATATATAGATGGTAGCTCGCGTGAATTTTTTTTGGTCTATGTTAAAATTTTCCGGGAAATGAAAATAGATGTGTAACATTCGCCCAAATACTAAATAAAGACGAATCGCAGAAAAATCACCTATTGACGACTGGTCGGCGTCAGTTACCTAAATTCTACCCGTTTTTCACCGTCTAGACCAATCCAGTATATTTTCTGGTGTTTAGGGCGAAGTAAAAAGTTACCATTTTAGGCCCTCAGTCAAACGACTTTTGATCAGATTTCGTTATGTAATATTCGCCCGGAAGTGCATATCGAAGGAAACTAAAGCTAGATTGTAAAACGAGTGGCTAGCGTCTAAACACAGCTCTACATGCTTTTCACCTTCTCTGCCAAATCCGTCTCTAAGATCGGGTCGACAAAAACGTTACTGTTTCCGGCTTCGGCCAGAACGCTCAGAAGTTTAATTCAAAAACAGGCGAAAATAGTGAGCTCATGGCTGGGTCTCAGTATCCCTAGACCACGAGGTCACTCTTAAAAACAGGGCTACTGCTTATTTTCTATATTACTTTTGTTTTTGTTCAATAGATAAAAATCATCATACCCATCGGAGATGGATCAACCCTTTCCCTCAACTCCTCGCTTCTCATATTCTGAAAATGAATTTGGTAATAATTAGATTCAACTCAAGACCTTCCAGAAAGGTAAAAGTTTGTTAAAATAAGGTTTAAGTTCTCTCCCGAGACCCTTTCGAATTCTTGAATCCGGACGAAGAGCTGTCTTGTCTCTTTCCGGAAGGCTGGACACGTCGTCCCAACATCCTTCCTGGTTCCCGGGAATCGCTTTGTAACGATTGTAGCGGCACAATCGTTACAACTCGCAATGGTCGTAAATCACTATATTTTCTCAGTTCGTCGTTGTTTTCCGTCCGACTCTTCTCTGTCTAAGAATATTGTTGTTCTCTCTTTTCGCAGTTTTTCAGTTGTCGCGAAAAATAATATCGTTACGTGTCTTTCATGCCCAAATCGAAAAATAAAAAATTAACATGTCACACCGAATTGATCATTACCAATTCCTCAAAATGAACGACTAACACCCTTATTGCGCTAAAACCGCCAATTTTCTCGTTCAGCTGCTATAAAAATAATTTGAATTCGAACTGCATTTTGATACATTCTGGTCGAATGTCACATACTCCCCGGACAGCCCGGTCAAACGTCTTCATTGATTCTCGTAGTCTTCATCAAAATAGTACAGTGCCAACGAACAGAATTACAAAATGCATAAAATCACTTTTATCCACATCACATATCGATCGACTCACTGCAGAATACAAATGGCCAAATCCCTTTTTCAAAATTTTGCCTGCGGTGCAGAAAATTTGGCCCAAACAGGTACTAAACCGTGCTTAGGGAGAGTTCGAAAAATCAATTCGATCGACCTAAAAAGAAAGGTCGACAAAATTTTCGAAATTTTTTTGACAATCCGCCCTCCCCCCTCGAGAAAGTCCTAGATCCGCCCCTGCATAGCACTAAGCAGAAATGGCTTAATATTAGATTCACGTCAGCTTATCAACGTAAGATGGATAAATTCAATGACAAAAAAACCGATGTTTGTTTTTCAAATGTCCGATACAAGAAATGATCGGTACAAAAATGCCGATAGAAAAAGTTGAAACAAATAATTCGAAAAACTTCAAGCTCCTGCTTGAAACACCTTTATCTGTCAAACGAAACTTTCGAAACAGAATTTCAACTAAATCAAGATCCGTTTGCTCTGCATCTAGCACATATCAAAGATCTTTTTTCGAAAACTCTAAAAAACGAAAAATATTCTAAATTATTTTAACAATGTTTTTTCTTAAAATCTATTATGGAGATTTCACAGCTAAGTTTATTCCAACTAGCCTAAAGTACAGTCAAAACATCCAGGGCAACGCCCTGATATTAGCAGTCTTGTCTAGTTTAAATGTAAATCCTCATGTTTAAAACATACAATAATGGAGGCTTGATATTTTGACTTTATTTTAGGCTAGTTGGAATAAGCTTTAATAATGCTTTAATTTCAAGAAACAACATTGATCAAGCAATGTGGAATATTCTTCTTTTTTTGTAATTTTTCCTATGTAACATATAAAGTAATTTACTTCGCTTTTATTGCCACTTTATTTGGGCCAATAAGCGTCCTCAACTCCACTTCGAATAATTTTTGAGCTTGATTAAGGTATCGCAATTGGGGGCTATTCTCATGCGCGAAGGACCGAATGGGCGAAAAAACTCGTAAGCGAAGGACCGAAAACAAAATTAGCTGAAAGTCAATTTTTTAGAAAGAAGCAATTGCCATTCAGTTAAATGAAGCAATTTTTGCTTCTTTCATAACGAAAACCTTGAAACATAAAATTTGGGATCATGTTAACTATCCCCCCCTATTGCAATAGAAGGGGGGGGGGAGTTAACATGATCTAAAATTTGTTCCAACTCGGCGGCAGTGGCAGTCAGTGACAATTTGAAAATTTTGCATATTTCTGCCGTTTTTATATTCGGCCAATATCAATATTCAGTCCCTGGAAATGTTTACATTCTTTCCACATTTTAGATTACTGAAATCTGATTAACTGATTTAGATTTTCGCGCATTCTGTCTTTCGCGTATGAGGGTTTCCACCATCACAATTGGAACACGCAAAGAATATTGAAAAATGCACAGGTTTTTCATTCATTAAAAAAACCAGCAAGCATAAATATTCCGACCCTTTTTTCAAAAAAAAGAGACAATAATAAATTTTGACGAAGAATTTGTGCTCGGAATATTATTTTCCCGGACAAGAAGCGACCTTATAAATAGCAAGTTTTGACCAAATGCTTAAAGCGGTATGAAGGATTTTGTTGTTTTGAGCTCAAAAGGGAAAACTTAACCGGAAATCGTTTGTCATCTTTATTTGCAATATTTCACAGTTGTCAATATGAGATAATTAAAGTTCAATATATTGCGTTTCTGACCCGTAAACCGCAAGTTTATCCGGTTCAGAAACCATTTCAAATTGAATTGAGGCAACGGATTCAAAAAGTGTTAGTAGCATCACAATATTTTATTTTGTTAGTTGTATTGGGTGTGGAGAAAAAAGCAACAACAAAAACATTTTTGAAATTTTTCTTGAGAATTCAATCGAACTTTTTACGTTTTGTTTTTACATCGCCGAAACTTCTTGGAGACACCTTAAAGGACACCTTAAATTCCAGCTATTTTTTTTCTGTTCTTGGTTTCAAATGTTGCAAATTACTTTTGTTGAGCAGCTGATGCTACCAATGACTCATCTTCACTGCCTGAAGCGTCACTCCTCCGGAAACTTCTGTCCAATTATGACATCAGAGTGAGACCAGTTAGAAACCAGTCTGATATAACTTTGGTTCATTTCCGGGTTACATTATACCAGCTGATTGGGTTCGACATGAAAGATCAGTCGATCGAAATGTTGAATTTTCAACGTCTTCAATGGCACGCCACATAAATCCAATCACTAAAAACCTAAGTTCCAGAAAAATTGAACCCTTCCATTTAGTACCAATTTTATTCTGGAAAACTACTTCTACTGAAAAACTGTATTTGACTAAAGAAAAACTGGTTAATCTTAAATTAAAAATTGTCGACTTTTGGTACTTTGTGTAATAGTTGTCTTATCTGTTGTTTTTCCGACCACGCTTAGCTGAAGGACGGAACTAGGGCCTCGTTTATATTTTTAAGCGCAAAATTAGCTACCTACCAATAAACAATAGAAGAGTTACTGCTGTGTCATACCGGAGCCCTTTAAGTCACGCTTCGGTTTCAAAATTAAAAGTTTGTTTCGGTCTCGAGAAAAACCGGACTGAATTATTTTGTTTTTTCTTTCGGCCAATTTTTTGCAGGGGATTGGATATAAATATTTTTAAAAAAATTGAAAGAAAAAAATTATTTTTCGGTTAAGTAAAGTTTTTGTATTATTTTTTGTTGCCCTAATTACAGTGGCTCGAAAAAAAATTGAAATTCTTGTTCAATGATCATTTACACTAATTAACTATTTATAAACGGTACCCTTATACTAATTTTTTAAAAGATTGTCTGAAGAAAAAAAAACAGATTAAAGTGTTTGAATGTTGTGGGTATGACCAACTTCTGACATGGGATCCAGCGGACCACTCTGGACTGGAGAGGGTGCGGGTGTTCCGAGAAGACATCTGGACTCCCGATGTTCTTCCATACAATGATGTGCGCACCTTCGATCACAACAAGTTCGACATTGTTGTTCCACTGACTGTGCACTCAGACGGAAAAGGGAGCATTTCAGAGAGTTTAGGAAAAAACAGTGATTCGACCCCCTGTCAACCCAAAGGGGCCCCTTTTCACTAATTTGAGATATCCATTTTTGGCTGACGGACCCTAAAATTTTTCTAAAGCGCCTTCGGCACCATTATATACTAATTTTGAGGGGGAAGCGCGCGCCGAAAAAACGCGATTTTTTGGTCAAGCTTTTCCAAAAAAGGCCTAAAAAAATCTTTTTTGGTCTGTTGTTTCAAAAATTTGCCAAAATAGGGCCTTTTTAGATCTCTGGGAAAATCCTAGATCCGCCCCTGGTACATAACATAAACAAAATTAATGATACCACTGACTTCTTAAAGAATCACTTAAATGACTCCATATTAATTTACCATAAACATTTAAAAATTATTGTGAAGTCTGTTTGAATTTCTCCCCTCATTAGTATACTGGGCCCGTCCGACGGACTACCGTACTTCGTGCAACCTAGATATCACTGACTTCCCCTTCGACTCCCAGACATGTGAAATACCTCTGGGCTCGTGGCAGTACGATGCCAATGAAGTGCAGATGACCTGCGATGACAGTGATATAGACCTCTCGTTCTACCAGGAAGACAGCCTTTGGTCCCTGGAAAGTAAGTTACTTCTTTCAATCAAAACTGATTCTAACGTTTTTGTAATCTGGCACAGAGGTTCCATATGAATGGGTAATAGGAGCGAGGAGTACAACAATCAAGCCTGTATAATCTCTATTGCAGAAGGGCGAAGTTGGTTACAAGGTCCAAAATGCCCAGATACTCAACCATTGAATTTGTTCTTTATAGGGTTGGCGGATCTTGTTAACTATTCCCCCCTACCCCCCCCCCCCCCCACAAAAGGGAAAATAGTTAACAAGGTACAAAATTCGTATATGCTTAACCGTTCAATTCCTCTTTATAGGGGCGGGGGGGATTCGTTACAAGGTACCAGAGGGGGGGGGGGGGGGAGTTACCAAGATTTCAAATGTCAATTTTGTTTGTTTGTTTTTCTCCCTTCACTAGCTTTTTTTCTTTTTTCAATAAAAAACTTTATGAGTAACTTTAAACATAAAATTAAGAAAACACGCACTTATAAGCAAATTCTTTAAGAGCAATTTACGCATACAATAAAGAAAATCGGTACTTTATTTTAAAACAGTCGTTGGGCGGTGTATCGAATAGCATAAAGCTCGATTAGCATAAAACTTTTAAAATTGAAAACCGTATCGACTAGCATAAAAGTTGAAACACGAAATTCGTATATTATCAAAGCTAAAACTCTTACACACAACAAATAAATCATAGTTTTTTCACACATTCGACAACTCGCGCGGCATTCGACATTCGACAATCAGGATGCAGTTCAAGTCATTACTTGCCGGCTTGTGGTTGATCACGATGTCAGCATTAGGAAATTTCGGTTGATATTTCCTTTCGCACGATTTAAGTTCTAAGGATTTTTGTTTTCTTTGCTCAATTTGCAAAAAAAACTTTTAAAATTGAAATATGAATCCACGGTGCGTATTCATAGGTCCAAAAATGAAAAATCAGTCCCATAGATCCCAAAATAAAAAAGCTGTCGCATAAGTCCCAAATCTTTTCAATTGGTCAAAAGACTAAATTAACCGAGTCTCGGTTTAAGGTCGCCGGTAGGCGCGCTATGCGCGCGTCGTCGCTTTGCGGCGATAAGCGGCGCTAAGTTTCGTGTAGAGTCCTACCTACCCTTTGGTGGCAAGCTCGCAACACAAATTCCCGCGGCTGCGGCGGTCACTATTCTGCAGCTTGTTGAGTTTTTGCTGCTTGAACAGTAAACAATGAAAATGAATCCAAAAATTCCTTGGCTCAAATTTGAGCCAATCAGAATTCAAGAAGATAAATTTTGGGACTTATGGGACTAATTTTTTTTATTTTGGGAGCTATGAATATTGGGACTTATGGGAATTCATCGAAAATTTTAGCATGAAATTCGAAACGCAATTCAAAATTTGTCGAAACTAAAATCATTATACAAAAAATAAATATTCATAAATCACAGTTTTTTAACACGTTGCACAATTTGCACAGCTATCAAAATTCGGTTCGATTCATTACAGGTGAGGGTGTGAATGGTCATGATTTAACTGTTAAGGATTTCCGTTTGCTTGCTTGACTCGCATAAAACTTTTAAAATAGAAAATCGTATCCACTTGCATAAAAGTCAAAAAACGAACGAAAACATTTTCAAAGTTAAAATCGTTTTACACAAAAAATATATACATGAAAGACAGTTTTTTTCACACATTCCTAAATTTGATTCTTTTTCCCCCTTTTTGAGAAATAAATCTATCAAAAATGTGCTAGTCGATTCTTTTTCACGTTTATGCTAGTCGAGCTTTGTGCTAATCCAGGGGTCAACAGTCGTTGTTTTTAGGCGTTTCATGTGAGCCGAGGGAAACAAACTCATCTTTCTACGGTTTGTTCAGCGAAGCTGCATTGAAAGTATCTTTCAAACGTCTCCAAACGTTTTTCGTCATAAACCTTGTCATTCCGAACGCCCTTATTTTGTTCTTAAGCGCTCTAATTTTTTTCATCCCGGGCGAAATCGGGGAAAAAAAGGGCTTTGGTATCACTGTAACACTCGCTCTGTGTGTCAACCTGACAGTCTTCACCGAATTTATTCCGATGAGTTCAAAATCATTTCCGAGATTGTTCTCGTATCTTCTATCGAGTATTGTGCTGTCGTGTCTATCAATGGTGATTGGAACTATCTCGGTTAATGTTATGGTGGATGATTCCCACGAAGACGTGGTCGAAGGAAAAGATGGCAGTAATTGTGACGCAAGAAGATACTCAAGCCGAGGTTTCTCAAGTGTAGTTGGAAATAATAGCGACGAGCAAGAGAACACAGGGTCGAGACAAAGCGATCATCATCATGCTTCAACAGAGAAAGAACATAAAAAGTCAGATAAGGAGATCTTCTCATCTCTGACTGACATTTGGGGAAAGACGAAGAAAAGGATGTCTCGGAGACAAGTGGAAAAGCTAATAGGAGGAGTGTATCTCTGTTTCATTGTGCTTTACACAATTATTTTTTTCGTTTCTATGTAGATTCTGTTTTCAAACAGTCTCTTTTCCAACTATTGGGAGCGTGGTCAAAAAGTAGACAACAGTTATTTCATACTCTATAATGAGAAAAACCAATCGAGATAAGTACAAGCAGGACAGAATATTCCGACCAGAGTCTTTAAGAACTATGGAACCAGTTCTGGACTAGTATTTATAAACCAATTATATTATAAAACTATCTCTATAAAATATTACTAACTAACCAATCATATTCCATCACTACCACGGACAATTATTTGTAAGTGCTGAAACTACTTGTAGTTTCAGCACAAGAACAATTTAAATAAATCTTAGGATACAGTCGTTCTGCTTTTGGACAACCTCCAAGACTAACTCGCGAATACCAGTATACACTAGATCTATTGAGACTAGGAGATATAAGAGTAAGATTAAGATTGGTATTAGACTAAGAAGTTGCACGAACCTATCCGGCCAAAAATAAAATAGCGTGACGAAATGACGGTGTACCTTATCTGAAATTACTCTATGAGAAAGCTACCTGTGGTTTAAACTAAACTACAAGAAAAAGAATTTTTTTTCTATTTAGTGTAGTTTTTTCTGCGCGATAAAAGGATAGACGTATAGTTTTAATTTAGGCATATTCGACAGTCATAGTAATAAATGAAAACAGTTAAACAGATTTAAAAAAATGGCTGGAAAAAAAAATTTTAAAAAGTTGTTTTTTAAATTCAAACTTCTTCTTGTAGAAATTTTTTGAATCTTTGAAATTTTTGATTCCCACATGGCATTAAAAATCTCCAAAAACTAATTTTACTCGATAAAGTAAAAAATTCGAAAAAAATAATACATTCGAGGTTGATTGATTTCTATTTTCAAGTATGGTTTTTTCCCGCAAATGGTCAAAAAATAAACCCAAGACAGCTTGGATATATTACATCATCCTTTTCCAACCACTTACCACTTGAAGTATCGGCGTTTGATTTTGCAGAGCGGTTTGAGCAATTTTTATAGACAATTGCGCTCAAACTCTTGCTTCATAATGAGTGGTTAGAACGGTTTTTGAGCGGTTTATCTAGAAAAACCGCACAAGATTTAAGTAACCGTATGTCAAAACGTGATTATACGTTGAAGAAAAGAAAGATTGCATAAACTTTGTAGAAGAGGATCAAGTTGCTCCTCGAGCAAACAGATCGGGATCTGGAAATACCACCATTAAATTGGCTGAATTTGCGACAAACATTGACAACATACATCTTCTATTTGAACCTTTTGTCGAGAAAAATTCTGAAAAACCTCAAACTTTGCTCACTGGCATGTTTGTTGTAAATAGAATAATATTTTTTTCTAACAAGTCTTGCCATCAAACATTTCGAAGTGTTAACAGCTAGTTGTTGTCTCTGCTCTATTATCGACAACCAGAAATCACGAGAATCTTTCAATTTCTATGGATTTTGATTAAAGCTCAAAATAGTCGTGTCAAAGGCAACAAGGCAGCATTCGGTATGCTGCAATGAAGTAGGCATATCAATTACCTAGAGTTAAATAGTAAAGATCATAAAACATTAATTGCTTAGCGCCACATTTCAAGGGTACCAATTCAGAGCGTTGCTTTTGCTGAAGATCGAATGCTTATCTAATTTTGATGTTTGATTTCAACTCTGGTAGAGCTATGCTTTTAATACCATGCGTCTCCAATTTTCCTTTAAAAATTGAGGTTAATAGTTGAAAAGATTTTGTCAGGTCAACCAAGCAAACTCGCCCGTAGTGTTTTTTGAATTTAAAAAAAAAGGACTTTCAGAAACAATACTGCAAGCATTCTGGTTGATCCATTCAACAAGGACTTTCTGGTTGATCCATAAATACCTGGATCTATTTTTTTCCCATCCCATGAAAACTTTTGCACTTTTTGTACAATCGGGAACAACGCCACGAATTGTTCTCTTATTGGCACAATTAAACAACATCTTGATATCTGCGGTTAACCGAATTTGACAATTTTTTTACTGCTGCAATAATTATCCTGACAGGTTTGTTTTTCAAAATGTGATATACAATAAAACGTTGAGTGCAGCAAAGTTGACTTTGATGTTTTTGGTAGTTTTTGCCTAAGCACAATTTTTTCAATTTATTTTTCGTTTTAGCCGCACATTTTTCTTCTTTAATTACAAAAAAGTGGGGCCTAGAAAATTAGACGACAAGCAAATTAAACGACCGTAACGAAACGGAATTTACGGACTACCAGTATTTACTCCGCCAAAAGATACTTTAAGTCTGTAAACAAGTTTCACGCAATTTGCACGCAAGTTTTTGTCTAAATTCCGTAATTTACTGATCGTCTAACTTCCTGTCGTATAAATTCCTAAACCCCAAAAAAGTAGATTCGCATATGCGGATTAAAGTAACTTTTTTTTTGTTTAATTTGCCGCGAAATTTATTAAACGAGCTAAACAGTTGTGTTGGATCAGAAAATTTTTCAGTTTCTCTATCCCAAATTTTTTTCGAAATTACAAATTTGCCTTTGAGAAACCGTATAATAAATGCCAGGCGTTGTCAAAAACAATTCTTTTCTCCAGACCGGCACGCTATTGCAAAATTTAGCAGTCCAATTGTGTGGATCAAACATTTTGAAAAAATCGAACTAAAAAGACATTTCCAAGTCCAAGCAACATCTCCAAGTCTAATAAATAAAAAGTCGTAGACGGTCGAACTTTGATTGGTGGAAAGCTCCAACTAAATCGCATACACTTAACCAGTTTTAAAAAAACGAGAACGTTTTGTTCTGTACAAGCTTAAGGCCGAAAACGTAATCACTAAGAAGTCGAACTAGCTCACGAACAGGCTATTTATTGCATTTAACATTTCTTGATTTCAGCGAATAGCTAACAAAACCCAATACTATTGTTAGCTGCTCGCTGAAATCAAATGTTACATGAGATAATTAGACTTTTTTGAGCTATTTCGACTTTTTATTGATTACGTTTTGAGCTGTATGCTAGTACAGAACAAAGCGTTTTCGGATTCTGTTTGATCTGTTTAAATTTATGCGACTTGGTTTGAGCTTATGACTTTTTGCATTTTGATTGATTTACAATTTATTTTTGCTATTTAGGCACAAAGAGAAAATTTCAGCTGAAATAGTAGCTGGTTGAGGTGAAGGTGGAATCATAATAGTTTGGATAGAGCTGACCCTTGATCGTAATAAGAAAGTAAATCTTCGGTCATTTATGGGTATCAAAAATTGTTGTAAAAATTTGGTCATTTTTGGGTACCATAAATTTTTGCAAAATCATGTTTTGTTGATATGACCGTTCCTCAACCAATCCGATGCTGCAGAGATATAAGATTTCATACTTGGTGCTTTCGTTTCTTCGACCTCTGATGCCTCGAAGGCGTTTAGTTTTTCCTGTAATTTCTCATTTTCCAATTCGAGCTTCACCTTTTGTTCGATCTCCTTCATTACCAATTCCTGCTGGACTCTATTTAGAGCATCCCTCGCGGCTGCCCTATAATCAATCTTGAAGTCATCCGCCGCAGTCACCGGTTCAGGTTCACATGTCTCTTCCGTTACCGCCTGCATCTTCTTTGTTGCCAGCTCTTGCGGTTTTTCTTTTCTGCGCGCCTCCGCTTCACTCAATAGGCGAGCCTTGCTGGCTTTCACACCCGATAAAGCTTTCTCATGCCTTGGATGCTTGATGTCTGCTACAGCATCCCAGAGTTGTGGATAATCCGATTTAAAATGACATTCCAAGTTGCAAAAGAAACACCTCGGGCCGAATTTTGCAATTGCTCCTCTCATGAAATCTTCATGGTCGACTTCTGACGCATCTCCACGAGGCTAAAGCCTATTGCTTTCTTGCCCTGTTTGTAAGTTGGGCATGCTGACACATGATGGTCCGTCGAACTGCAATTTGCACAAGAGCGCCTCTTGTCCATATCGTCCCTCGGTTTATACCAGTTGTTCCCTTGGTTTGCTGGTCCGTTGTTAAAATTGCCATAATTGTTCTTGTATTATCTAGATTTTGATGGAGGCTTCAGCAAAAGATATTCTTTTGACTTGAGTTTCAACTCCTCTGGTGTTGGTGCATTGGTTGAGAGTGGTGTGTAATGTGTTGCTAACATTGTTCGAAGTTCATCATTCTTCACACCATCGATGAATTTCGAGGCTACAAACCGTCTACAAACTTGTCTATCGTCTCATCTTCTCGTTGCCTCCGTTTCTCGAAGCGCATCCTTGCTTGGTGTCCCTGCACCCCTGAGCCAAAACGATTTAACAAGATTTCAAAGATTTTCTCGGCAGTGTCCCGTTGGTTCTACTTTTTGGCCATCACGCAGTTTAGGACTGTCACTTCCAAGTTACTGGTAAGCGCACTGCATTCTTGCCTTTCTGCCAAGTCGTCATCCCCAAAATGCAGTTTCATCACTTCTATCCAGGTATCAATACAGCCCTCAGATTCGTCTTTATAGCATCTTGGTTTCTTAAAAACCCTTCTGGACTTTTTGCTACGTTCAATGGTTCTAGATAACCTCGTAAGCAATGTCTCCAAAGACCTGTTCAGAGGTTCAAAGGCTGTGACTATTGATGTAGCCTCTCTTGAATGCCCTGCCTGAGTATCTTTGGCCCCTGATAAGGGTTCTGCACTTGGAACTTCCCTTCAGTCCGATTCACTTGGATTGTTTCTTCCTTGGCTCGCTTGACTCATCCCTGGTCTTGCATGACTCCTGTTCCTGGAATCACCTCTCCCAGTCGCATGTGTGCCTTGCGTCGGCCGTTTGTTTGAGGTCTGTCTGTTGCCAGTTGAACTTCCTGTGATGTTTGGGCCCCATGTTCTATTATCCCCTGTGGCATAGCCTGCTAAACTGCCCCTACCTCTAGTGGATCCATATATCCTTCTCCTATTTTGTTGGTCATTGAAGTTCACCCTGGGCTCCTTGCTGGGTCCTCCCGAGTTCGGTTCCCCATCTTTTGGTCCACTACTGCTGCCTAGTAGCCCGTCCAACCTATCCATGATAGCCTGAGTTCG